ATCTGGGAGGTACCCAAAAAGTCGACTTTTTGGGTACCTGCTTTGGTGATGATGGGTTGGGTCATCGCGAGAAAGCGATCGATTCAGCAGATGTCCGGGCGCTGAGGTGACTTTTTGGGTACGTGCTTTGGGGATGATGGGTTGGGTCATCGGGAGAAACCGATCGATTCAACACAAGTCCGGGCGCCGAGTCGACTGTTGGGGCGCTGCTTTGGTGGTAATGGGTTGGGTCGCCGGGAGAAACCGATCTTTTCAGCACAAGTCCGGGCGCCGACCCTTGCGGCACTTGATTGTATCCGAGACCATGGGCAGCGCCCTGCGGGCAAGAGCTGACGTCCGATGGTAAATCGGTGCAAGAGATCAGGTATAGTAAACCTGGGAGGTACCCAAAAAGTCGACTTTTTGGGTACCTGCTGTGGTGGTCATGGGTTTGAATTTTTAGGCAATGATATCCTGTGGGGAGAAGGGTTCAGCATCACCGGGCTCATGCAAGCGATCACGTCCGATGGTAAATCTGGGAGGTACCCAAAACGTCGACTTTTCGGGTACCTGCTTTGGTGGTGATGGGTTAGGTCACCGGGAGAAACCGATCGATTCAGCACAAGTCCGGGCGCCGAGTCGACTTTTTGGGTACCTGCTTCGGTGGTGCAGGGTTGGGTCTAAATTCTTGGGCAATGATCGGGGTTCATGCAAGAGCTGACGTCCGATGGTAAATCTGGGAGGTACCCAAAAAGTCGACTTTTTGGGTACCTGCTTTGGTGGTGCTGGGTTGGGTCTGCACTCTTAAGGCTGAGGCTAAGGCTTAAGGCTAAGGCTAACATAGAGCAAGGCTAGCGCTAAGGTTCTATCCCTTGGGGGTCGGCCGCTGCAGGCGGTAGCCTGGTAAATATAAATATATAGGGTACACATGGTACATGTTAGAACACAGTGCAATTACTGTAGAATACTATGCAAACATATTCTGGATATATATATATATATGTTGCACAAGCAGTATTTCTATGTATTACGTACTGTAAATTTATGAATATAAGTCTCCACACAGTATATTATTATGTATTAGTTGCAGGGCAAATAACTATGCATGCAGCATCTATCTTGCATCGTGACACCTGAAACCATCTAAACGTCCATGTCTATGTAGGCTGCATTGATGCCAGCCCCGCCGTTGCGGACGTCGCAGGCAGGGGCACGTGGCAGGGGCAACATCCCTCGCGAACCAGCCAAGCCACGCACGCTGGCCAAGTTGGGGTCTGCTTCTGCCACTGCAGCACATCTGGGACACCTGAGTCCAAACACCAATGGATTCATCACATCGATGAGTTCACGCGAGAAAAACCCGAGTCCAACCATGGGGGGTTTTAGTTTGTATAGGAGTATGGAAGGTTAGGGTGGGCCCTGTTCCCTGTTTGCGGGTGGGATTGATATTCTTTCAGTGTTGGAAACCTCCAAGCTCAGCTGTGAGAGAAAACACCAGCAGACAGCTTTCCACCAGCACGGCAGCACATCCCGAGTTCGAAGCCATACCTGTTGAAAGAGAAATCCTTCCACACCATGGAGGAACACCCCGCGATTTCTTGCCGACACTCAACCCCTGGGGTCGAAGTGAAGACTCTTGACTAATAAAGCCTCCAAACATGGATTGTAACACCTGTTCATATGGCAGGGGTCGAAATATCAAGAGTACATATGTCTACATTCTACTTGATTAATTAACCCTGTGTTCCTACCAATCAAGAACATATGGCAGGGTCCTTCTACATCAGGGTCTACGGGTCTACATCTAAAGAACTCTTCTGTGTGGTCCGAAAGCCCATCTCCAACCCATCGAGCAAAGGCCGACGGGCCGACAGCGTCTCGCCCTTTTTGGGGATGGCGGTCAGTGCAGGTCGATCCCGCGCTGGTTGAAGGCGCTCCAGGTTCGCGGGGGAAGGAAGGCGTTCTGCATCAAAGCCTCAGGGCGTTCTGCGGATATTCAAGGTATTATGATGTATTATGTATAAACGCTTAAAGTAAGATTATAAGACACATGTAGTATTACTATAAGTCTCTGAACATAAGCTGTTTTGACTGGCTGAACGCCCTCTGAAGGATCGATGTCGAGGGGAGTTTCTTTTCCGCGTCTACCGTTTCGTCACCGTTTCGTCGTACCGACAGATAGGGAATGTGGAGCTGTTGATAAGTCTGTCCACTCGCCCCATGTGAAGAGGCTTTACAACAGGGAGATGGTATAACATATTTAAGTCTATATGTTCCACTCGCGTTCCATGGATGGAAGTGCGTTCCACCCCTGTTCATCTTCGATCTGTGTTCGGCAAAACAGCTGCCGGTTTGCACCCAAACGAACCGGCCAGTTCAGCTCAGACACTGCCAGGTCAAGAGGAGCACCAGACCCACAGAACCCAGGAACGATGCCTGACGAGTGGATGCCGGCCTGGTCGTCTTCACCATGTACTGCCAAAGAAGGAGGTCCTAAACCGTTTGAACCCAACTTCACTGGGGTTCTCCGGGTTCTCTTCATTGGACCCAAAAAGGCGGCAGGGGATCTATTCTTTTTGCCAGGTCATGGTCATGGACCTGGCGGCTTCCATGGAAGAAGGGTGAAAGAAGGTTCTCCAGTGACTGGAAAGGACCGTTTGCGCGAATGGCTGCAAAGGACCTGAGAAGGACCGTCAGCATGTTGACAAGACTGTTCTGCTGGGAGGTCCTTCTTCAATCAAGAGCATCAACAAGAAAAACGGATGCATTGGGTATATTCCCCAGCATTCCCATTACCAGTGTGGCTGATGATGGTTAGGTTGCAGGCCTAGACCCCTTCCTGTAACTGGCTTACTCGGACACACCCTACGAATGCTTTGAGGACACCCTACCGTCCAAAGACGAGCGCCGTTCACCACTACCCTGTGCCGCCATGAAGAACAACCGCCCTGCGCCTGAGATCGCTCTTCCCACAAGGTCTGGCAGCACCTCGAAGGTTTAGACTTCAAAGAAAACAACACCAATTTCCAGGCCGCTCATGGATCGCGAGGGTTTGGTTGAAACACCCAGGCCCAGGCCCGGTGGTTTTTCAAGAAATGACCACAAATGAATCATGCTTGGTGAGAGAACCGACCGTGGTTGATTTGTCAGGTCGATTTCAGCCAAACACCAATACAAGCTCCAAGGAAGGGACGGCATCGACCCGGGACCCTCACCGGACGCTGCGAGTCCGGTCAGTCACGAACTGATGAGCAGGATGAGCAGATCTTTGGCATCCTCTCCTCTCCTTCTTGTCCAAATCGTAGTACGTCCACTCAAAGAAATCAAGCAATAACAAAGAATCAGCAACCAAAGACAACATGTGAAGGTTTCAGCAAAACCAAACCGTAGATAAACAACAGTCAGGATAAAGTGAACAGAAACGACACAATCACTATGAGTTTGACCACTTCCACAAATGACCCATGGGATCAGCACAAACAAAATACCAACCCTTTTCAAGCTTGGCCATGACTCAAAATGTTGAGAGTAAACATCCAAACCCTCTCCAGCAAGGGCTGTCCATGAACCACCGCGACTGAGGATCTGGCTGGTTTAAATTTCAACACATCACTATCTCATCACCCAACTCTCCGGTCTTGCAAGACAGACCTCTGGCACCAACATCGGTTTTCGAAAGCCGGGTGGATGTTCTTCATGTTCCTTCGCGCCCTCAAGGCCTTCAAGATCCCCAAGTTGGAGCCTCCAAGGCCTCCAAGATCCCCAGGGCCTCTTCACCGAGTTGCTCATCGTAGGCGCCTTTCTCACCCTTCATCTCCTTGGCCCGCGCAGCGCCCAGCTGCTCGGCGAAGGCACGGCAGTCACGGCGGCGGTCGAAGAAGACGCGGCGCACCGTGGGGAACTCCTTGTCCAAGTCGCCTGCAGCTCCGGTCCATGGGGAAGAGATTTGCGGGTGGTTGAGACACGTTATGTAATAGTTCTATAGTTCTTAGGACTATGAATGGGAAGTGGCGTCTTGATGGCTTGAAATGGCTTGAATATGAACTGATAGGGTGAAAGTGTTCTCACATGCTTGGACATATACAGTAAATACAAACTTGGAATCAAGCAAAATGCAAGTGTTTAAAAAAGTACCACACAAATGGAATAACATGGAATAACCAAGATCCCTGTTTGTTCTCCTCCGACTTCGGCCAATTGGTCCGACTGAGCCCTCTGTTGATGGGTCGATGAAAGCAGGAAGCATAGCCGCCCTTACTATCCACAACAGTTGAGTGTGCAATAGAATAGGGAGACCGCTGGGCGGCGTTCCAAACTCCTAGGACTGGTTCAGATAGACTCAGACCAGTCTACCCAGCCAGGGACTAGGGGTCTCCCTATTCAATACACACCCAGTCTTGAGTAATAACTCCCCCCAATATGAAGGGTGTTTCAATCCAAATGAGGTTGTATTGATTAAGAGTCTACTAAGTGCATCGCTACTAGTAGCTTCTTGCTACTAGTAATGCACTTGTTACTAGTAGCGATGCACTTGTTTCTAGTAGCAAGAAGCTACTAGTAGCAAGCCACATGAAGCCACCAGACTTCCTTGAGATCTGACGACGCCCTGGGGCCACCTGAAGCACTCCGAAAACCTCTCTGCCACTCCGAAAGCCGAGCTGGAGACTCCATACCCCCACCCGGCTTCCATCCCCCACACCCTCCAAAGATTCCATTGTTGTGGTAGAGATGGTGCAATACATAGATTTATAGACAGGACCTTTGTCTTGATGGGGAAAGACCGTGTTTAGGGCTCCAAGACAGGGGTCACGTGAGTTCCAAAGGCATATATGGGCGGGCACAGCAGCTATCAGCAGCTGAGTGTCCCAGTCTGGTTCCTCCCAAGCACCCAAAAAGGACACGTTTTCCAAGGACAGGTGAAAAGAACAGCTGGGTTTCTCCCAAGCCAAATGGGCCTCTCAAAAAAAGAGGCTCCTTCATGACCGTGATATCTCACATAACTTCCGGGGCATCTCACATACTTCCTGGGCATCCCAGTGGTGCTTCCTGGGCATCTGTGCTCCTAGGCTTCCAAGACCAATTGTTTTAATGGCCTTTACCGAACCACCATTGTTTTACTAAGGATTTTACACTATGCAACCAGGTCAACCGAACTCTTTGAATGGTCGAACGGAAGCCTAGGGTGCTTCCAATGCTCATTTTCTGTCAGCATCCTCGCCAAGAGACACTCTTGAGCAAGCGCCACAACCAGCTGGCGGTTGGTGTAGTGAGTCTCAGCCTGTTTCGCAAGCGGAGCAAGCGGAGGGGGGCAATGCAACTCCATTGGACGTTGGAACAGGAGCCTCTGTAAATACAGTAGGTCCATTGCTGTCCAACCACTCCGCATACAAACAAATTGATGCATTTGTAGGTCTTGCTTCCTAACCAACATGTTGGTGAACGACTTCATCCAGCTTCAGTCTGTCACCAGCACCACCTCACCTCGTTGTATGTATACAGTAACTTGGGATCACTTCTCAACCCGCTGATAGTCCGCCTCTGGGTTGCGCCAGCTTTGATGGCCCCGCGGACATACGGACGTGACACGTCACGTTTTGGCACCACACCTTCTTGACCACGGCCTTCAGCTTCTCTTGGCACTCAGGTAGGTAGGCGCTGTAGGCCTACCGGCCGGATCAACCGCGTGATTTAGCTCGACGCGAGACCGAAGAAGCGGCGTGGGATGACATTTCTGCCGGAGGGAAGGTCCAAAAGCTCCTGTTAGTCCACCCCATGTTCGTGGCTTTGGGTCAACCAGTCTTACATTGAGGTCTGGAATCCTGTAGGGCAATCGCTTTCTTGAGGAAGCCGATGCGGCATCGGCCGATGACGCCCGAGAGGCGCGGCGGGTGATCAGGCGATCCGGGATGAAGGAGGCTCCATCGATTGGTACACTCCGACCACCATGGGCTGTTTCCCTTCAAAAAGAGGTTAACCAAACTAACTCCATAGGAATTGATATGGCTCTGGGGTGCCACCAATATCCGGAAAAAATGGGTGACCTGCAAATGATCCACTTTTCCGGGGTAGGCAATGGACATCACCGGCTGATAGGTTCTGGGATGAACGAAAGTATTGCCTCGACATGAATGGGCAAAGAATCAACATGAATCAGCTACTGCTGCTAATGTCACTTCATCCTGTCAAGCAAATTCAAGAAGTATCTTCTCAAGTTTCAAGCCTACTCAACCTCTATATAGAGTGAACATTCATCAGGTTATCACCCGCTTCATTGATTTCTGGACACATGCAACGCGCGTAGGTGCTACGAGTAGCACCATGCCCAGCCGGGCTGAGAGGAGCTGACAATTCTGACGCTGACAATGCTGACCCAAGTACACCCAATCAGAGACCCACATGGAACCTGAAAAACCACGCCCGGTTTGTAGAGGAAAGTCGTCTTCCAGTCTGAAAACCATGCCAAGCCCGGTTCCATGTGGGTCTCTTCCCGGGTGTCATCAGGCTGAATTTAGATGCAAACGTGCTTCATGCTTCACCAGACATTGAAGAAAAACAAGGACCCGATGGTGGTCAATGCCAATCCTCCAAAGCGGCAAACAACGAACCCCGCCACTGGTTGCATGCCCATGACGACGCCAAGTCGGGGCGTCCCTGGAGACCCCGGTCGTCCCTGGAGACCTCGGGCGCCCGGTCGACGTCGGTGGGCAAAGCATCTCCGTCCGAGCCCGGCCTGAGATCCTGGCGCGTCATACAGACCTGGCACGTCGGGCTGTGGTTCTGCGGTGCAGGAGGGTGGAGAGGGACTGCATCTCCGTCGTCGTGGAGAAAGGCTGACGGAGGGGACTGCCCCCTGTGACGGAGGGGGGACATGGTTTTGAGAGAAAAACTGGGCACAGCTTAGCTGTTTGGAGCTGCAATGCTAATGGATGGTGGGAGAATGGAACTCAACTATAGTTACAGGCTATTATATAATCTATAAGTATACCCTCCAGGGGTGTTCATTCTCTACTGGACGGCTATGGACACTCCTTGAAAGCGCGCCCCTGAGGTACATATACAGTATATTATAGTACCTTCTATACCTATTACCTATATATATATGCCGTATTAAACACATATATGTACAGTATTCTATGTGTACTGTGTTATCAGTGTAGCTTCTATACCCTATAATTATATATACACAGTATTGTAATTAATATGCGGTGATTATGCCTATACAATTATACACCATATAACACAGTACTGTATACCTGGACCCTCAAAGGGGTGTCCAATGGACTACCCCACACTACCTATAGGCTTCCAGACAGGGCACCCCGACAGGAGGGTCCTGGTACATTATTGTCTTGTCTATTACATTTATCTTGTCTATTAGCTAAATCCCTTTCAACGGGACACTCCCCGAAACCGCCGTCGGAGACTCGTTGCCGCGGACCGCGGAAGACCGAGCAAAGCGGCTCGGTAGAGCCGCGTTGAGGAAGCGAGGAACCGGTGGCTCAACAATGGTTGGTGCATACAAACCTGCGAACAATCCTGAGTTAGTACTACAAACACTATCATTATATCAATAAACTTCAATAAACACATATATATATATATATATATATCAAAATATACATGAAGAATCATGAAGAGGCTTTACAATTTGATTCAGAATGGTTCTTTTAAATTAGTTAGACTTCATTCTATTGCAGGCATTCACAGGCACAATTCACTCCAAACCCGCTTTATTTGTTGGGTCGACCAAAACCCACGTCAAGTCACCGGCCCAGTTGAGTTTGTGGTCAGCATCTCGGGATGTTCGTGCGAAACTGCACGCCAAGCTGCTTGTGTTGGTGGTGTTCACTGACGCGTTCGTTTTGGCCGCAGCCTCCGGGGGCGATTCCAGATGCGATGGACCACGAGAAAAAATCATCCTCGCGATCGACGATCTCTTGTTAGAAGCCTTGTCTTCCCTCTGGGAAAACGGGAAGACCCCTGCTTTCCGGGCCTTGGCTCCAGTCTCATCGATCTTGGTGTTACCAAGCTCTCGATCAGCGCAATCGTTGACCAAACAAATCGACAATCAATGCTAAACGTGGCATCTGATCAGTTCACTCTCTTTATACAATGCAATCTTGGCACGGTGCGACCGTGCACGCGTCCACGGAACCAATGCTTTGCAGCTCCCTCAAAGAATCACGGTTCCGTGGATGGCAATGGCCCCAAAAGGATTTACCCTTTTCCTCTACAGCTAGCTATATAGTGTTCACATTCCTGACCATTTCAGGGAGTGCAAGTTAGGGGAACCAAGGAAGCTGAGCCTCGGAAGCTTTTTTTTTCACATGGACATGTTCCTCATGATCCCTGTAGACTGTTGAATTGACCCATGGAAGAACATGATCTTCCCACCTCCGTCGTCCCATCTCCCCGGGCTCGACCGGTGGTCTTTCGAACCCCCAAGACCCCCCTGGGTCGCCCTGGACCGAAACGAGTTCGGTGGGCCGTTAGCCCGAGCCCGAGCCCCTAAAGTGGGCTTCTACACCTGCAGTGTGGGCGATGTGCATCACACTCGTAGGGGCTCACCCAACAGGTCTCCGACTCAGGAGACGAAATGGTCGACTGGGATCCAAATGGAGACGACCCATGTCGTGGCAGTTGGTGTTACCTGGCTTGAAGAGCCTTTGCAATCCCATGTCTGGCGGGATTGTATAGGTCATCGAGACTCTGAGAGTCTACATGATCCTCCTGAAAAACATAGTCCTTAACAACCTGTACAGCAACTTGATGTTCAAACCCGCACCCTGCGGTGATCTACGCACTCCGAAAAAAGGCCGTTGGGAACGAGCTTTGCAGCCGGAGCGGGGGTACACTGCTGAATGGTTCACAGAGTCCCCACAGTGTTGAAGCCATCAACCGCGTTGAACGCCGTTGGGAGGCTGATTTGGGAGTCAAAGGACCTAAATCCAACGGCCAAAAAGGTTGAACAATGTTGAACAACTTGACAGTTGGCTGGAGAGGAGATCACCGTCAAAAGAAAAAACATCTTGGGTTCTCATGATTTGTGCATATTTATCCGTGAAGAAGCATGGCGGCTGCTCTTCAATTGTTCCTGCCCTCATGTTCTCTGTCCTTACCCTGCGGTCTCGACTTACAACGTATCATATCGTATGAAGAACTCATAGACAAGGATCGCAAAACCCAAGCAAATTAGTATCAGTCAGGTTGCAGCTCGCCCAAAACGCAGGCACACTCCCCCGATAACAAGCATGTTTGGCATCATATATATATATATACACACTATACTGTACACTAAAATAGTATATATAGTTCTTTACAGGTAGGATTGAAAGCAAAATCGCTAGAAGGCTTTAAGTTTGGGGGAGTGCACCCTACCTTCTTGGAAGCTTAGCATCTTTGAAGGTCATCTTCTTTAATCATCAATTCCACACACAGGAGCTTAGATTCCTTCTTCGACCCTCCTGCCACCGGGCAGGGCACCTCTGGTAGCAAAGTAGTGGGGATCCGGAGCGCGGTGGTGTTGATCCTGGTCGGTCGATCTCAGTGTGTTTGTTCAAAACCAAGGCAAGGCCATGGCAAGGCCTTAGGGCACCTGCCCCCTCCGAAGGTTCACTTACTGTATGAGTGATGTCGGAACAAGGGCCTAAAACTGAACCACAAATCTTTTCAGGCTTCTTGTTCCAGAAACAGGTCTCCGAGATGAAGAAACAAACATGAACAAAAACACACATGCACTATACACCAAGTTGACGGCCAACTGAGGCGCACCTCCGAGATTGGGTCGATTGGAGAAGGTCCTTACCAGGGGCCCCACAAACCATCGATCACCTGGTGTTCAGCAAAAAGCTTGGGTTTGGGGTAATGTGAAAACCTTGGTTTTTTCATTCTTTTGCTTCGGGCCCCTGGTCTCTTCTGCTCCAGGAATCGAGAAACAAACGCCACCAGCACTCCGGGCCGAACAGCACCCCGGGTCACGGTGCCGGTCCCGCCGGTCCCAGCTGCGAACACGGGCCGAAACAGCGTCCGGCGTCCTCTTGAAGCGTCCCGCGTCCACCAGAGGAACCGTAAGGGCGGCCAGCACCTGGGCCATCCCACCAAAAGGGGGCCATCCGACCAAACCAGGTCCATCTGACCCTCTGGGCACGCCCGAAACAGACAAACAGGATGGTCCAAACATGTAGGGTCCAGGACAAACAAATTAGGATGGTCCATGGTAGAATGTCGATTCATGCAACCCACCCCCATTTGTATTGAACACCTCCTCATATCGCTCATAGGGGGGGTTTTTATTGATCAAGAGTCTCCATTACATCACTCCAAGCAGTATACTGAGGATTACACATATATCAATAAATATCAAAGAGCCGACATTAGCTGTACCTTCTGGAATCTTCTGGATACATCCTGAGAATTTGACTCCGAATCCGATGCATTTTTTTCTCAACGGTCGCCTGCAGTAAGGGGAGTCCGTTTAGGAGTTGATGAATGTTGCGGGGATGGGAGCTGTTCAAGTATCAAACTTTAGCTCTTCTGCAGCTAAACATGTAGCTAACGCATGTAACTATACGTATGTATATTGGTATATATATATATATATGTTTTTTGGTAGACAATTTATACTCTGCCTGGAACATGGTTTTGTTCCCGACCCCAATCTTCCTCAGTTGTCACACCTCCTGCGGGCTGAGCTGTTTTACTACACTCTTTTTGGAACCGGTGGCCAGGTGAGACTCCCATCAACCACCAAACCCAAACACTCCATGGGACTGGAATAGTTACTTACATTGGGGTCTTTTTCATGGGGTAGATGTAGGTAACTACTCCTTACATGGACGGTCTGGGAAACATCAGTTTCATACACTTTGTAAAGGAAAGTCCTGTTGGTTGGGGGCCCTCTCTATTCTATGTACAACCTATAGTCACTATACGTCTATATTGGCCTATAGCTGTAGCTAAACACATCCCAGCTCCTTTCGACCAACCTCTTTGGACGACATTCACTGAAGCTGCCAGGAGGCCACTGCGAATGACAACTTCCTTAGAGCCAGGCACACTTCGAGAGGAAAAGCACGCCACACAAACAAACATTCAGTGGTCTTTGGGCGCTTCACATGTGTTCAACTGTCCAGGCAGATCTCGATAAGTGGTCCAAAGCGGAGCACGACGAGAAATCTGTGGAAAAACATCTGCTCGACGCTCTCTCACACAAACATGGGGCTTCGGTTTTTCGAACGCAGTGCGAAAAACAGGTTCGCTCTGCTTCGTAGCTTCGCGAGCGCCGACTCAGCCGACGAATTGATCGACGATAGACGCCTGGAGGGCCGAACGTGACCCGACAGACCATGGGCCGAACGCTAAGATCTATGGCACCATGGCCGTGCAGAAACTGACCTGTGACTGTTTTGCCATCGTGTGAGAGAACCACTACCACTGCTCTAAGGGGAGATCTATCATGATCTATCCTCCCAAGAAACATGCGAGAAGCAGTGAACAATCCCCAGAAAGCCTCCAGATCCTTCGAGTTGAGTGGAGTCGAGGCCTGGATCGACGCAAGTGGTGAACGTGTACTGTATACACTCCTTGAAGGAATCATGGAAGTCTAAACCATCGGTTTATCAAAATGAACTTAGTTCATAGTCATCCCAGAAGAACCATGATGATTCAGGCAGTGTATAGCTTCCGCTCCCTCCCCAGAAATCAGCAGCTCAACCTTGATTCCAACGTCGAGAAAAGGGAAACTGGGTCCGGTGGAGCTTGATCACTAATTGAAGAATAGCTTGAGAAAATGGAGCACCACCTGGTCTCCGTCTGGCATGACCGGCGACCACCCGGTCTCCGCCAATTGGCGTGACCCCATGCCATCCATGGTGTAGTTTGGTGCATGGCCCATCCATTGAGCGCCCAAGTTTGGTCAGCCACCCATTCTGGTCCAAGAGTCATTTATCGAAAGCAATGAGTTCTTCTGACTTTGGCAGTCACGCAGTCACGAGCCCAAAGCTGCAGCATCTTCACCTATAGCTACCATTAGCTACCCCCAGATCCAAAAGTATCCATGGTTTGAATAGGATCTAATCCGGTCTGCTCTTTCAACCTTGGTGTGACTCAGCAATTGGAGGAATCAAAGGAGTCAAGTGCCATTTCGGGGACTTGGATGGATATTGTGGCTTGGAGGGTTAGTGACTAGATGGACCAAATGAAGTCCCTTCACCTTGGACGGATCATCAAACGAACCATGGGCCCCACGAATGGGCTGGATCCCCACCCCATCTCTTTACCTCCTATGAACTCATATCACGACCTACACGCGATTTGCCTGAGGTATCTGCAGTCCGTTACGGCCGGCGGTGATGTGAGGCCTATGAACTTCTATCATTCGGATACCGAATCGGTACGGACTGGGCACTCCAGGAATCTCTGAATCACCCGAAGGCGAACTCTGTTCATTGCCATCATGGGTTTGTCCACCCTACTCAACGACACACACAAGGGATTAACGAAACGTCCAGGGCCCCGACCCTGGCAGGCAGGGAGGACACTTGGGATCCACCTGGGCGGGTGGATGGGTGTTGCAGCACGTGGCGCCCGAGTCTTGGAGTCTTGGAGTTGGAGCGGACCTTCCGTGCCTTGGTTGTGTGAGCTCTTCCACAAGGATGAGCCTCGAAAATCATGATATTTGGACTCTTTACAAACCCTAGGGCTCCAAGTACCTCCTTAGAAGGTATTTGGACCCTCTAAACCCACCCCAAACACCTTCTAAGAAGGTCCGACTGGAGCCCTAGGGAAATGGATGCCAATGGAGCTTTGTGTTCACGAATCTGAGCTCTGTGTCACTGGCTCACATCTCTGTGTCGTGCCTTGGCCACACAGGCCGCGCTGGAGAAGGTCTCCAAGTCGTTCAGGTCCTAAAGATCTTTGAGCATTTGTGAGGCACATTGTGGCACCAAATGAAGTCACTAGGAGTTTGCACCGATTCCAACAGTCATGGTCACCTTGGATTGCCTCTTACGAACTCCAAGAGAGGTAGCCAGTGACCTGAACTTGAGAGAGGAGGGGGTGAACAAAAAGGTAGCAGGCAATCACAAGTAACCCTGGTAGAAGTCCATGACGGCGTCAAAGGTGGATGGATGTGACCCAAACAGCGACGGTGCAGGGGGGGAATGATCCAGCAGGGGGGCGCCCTGTCGAATAGAATCCCTTCTTACAGGACCAACCTCTAGGCACAGCACCAAGTCCTGATTGTAATACATGTGTGCTAAAGCAAGGAGAACTCAGGTAGCCTGAGGCGACCTTTCGTGAAAAGGACCCGAATGACTGGGGACCATGACCATGGATCCTGGATCGCCTGAGCGCTGGTGGGGTCAGTGCCAAAGCCATCCATTCATCTCCGATGACCGGGGATGGAGGGCCATGGTCAAAGACTGGTTTGGATGATGGTGGATGTAGGAGACGACCAGTTAGTTCTCAAAAACAGTTAGGTATAGGATCACGATGTCACCATGACATCGTTATATACATTTGATTGTTTGTTTTTCCAGTGTGTATAGTAAAGTGCAAGCAATCTGAACAAAGACAAAACACAAATACACCACACCAACAATGATAATAACATGTAATAACAAATAAAACGTTACATCCACCGCCAAGCATATGCCAGGTACAAAATACACTTGACCAACCTCTTTACACCCTCGGGCATGAGGGCGGTGCCTCCTTCGATATCCCAACAAATCACACCCCAAATCAACAAAATACACAACAATCTGTTCAACCCACTTCAAGCCCTCAAATGAAGCACTCAAATGAATTCAAATGAATCAATCTAGAAGCACTCCAAGATATGATTCCTACCACTGTTGCTTTTGCCCTGGTAACTACAGGCCACAAACACTTCAAAAAGCGAGTCCCAATTCAAAAAGGGCTCATTTGCCCAAATCGAGCATCAGTACTCATTGCATTAAACACAATAACACGTAGTTCTCGGAAAGTCCACACCCTGGCCCCCTGTATAGAACAATACATGATGCTCTCCATGTCTGAGAAGGTACGACTGGATCCCTAGGGCCCTAGGGAATTGAAACAAGACCTACAGCAAATGCAATGAGGATTGCTAGGCCAAGAGGTTCAAAAACTGCCCGCCCGCAGCATTGACCTGCTTGTGAGTTTCGTCAAATTGGGAACCGCACCGTCATCCTTGCACCCGGACCGGAGGCGCGGGCGCGCCTCGTCGAAGCACACCTGTGCAAGGCCCTGCCAAAGCTGCAAGCTGCAGGTGCCGGCCGGAATCACCTCAGCGGCCAAGCCGAACCAGACGGGGAGGGTCCGAATCACCTCAGCTCCAGTGCCCGATCCTTAGGCAGTCGGATAGAAACGTGTCCAAACAACACTTGCCTGGGGACTGTCTGTGGGCACTGTCTGTGGGTACCATCCGCCCAAATCAATTCGAAAGTCTGGATAACCAGTGAACTCCTCTATCGTTCTCACATGTTCCTAATTAAGCAGGAACATGGCCATGAATTCTGGACTACCCTCCAACAGAAGTGGACCAGCGCCTCTTTCCTGTCAAAGCCCATATTCTGCATGTCCCATGCGTTAACAACGACCCACCAAGTATGAACGGACCGGTGCTTGTGAGAACCGAAGAAAAACCTCACCTGTCCGTGTTCGGCATGTTCTCGAGATCTCCCAGACCTGCTGGTTTCGATCAATCCGTGCAGTTTGAGGTACAGAACCCCAAAAAAGTACTACACTCCCAAAAACTAACATGGAAGTGGAGACTAGCCCCGAGTTCGGAAGACCATCTTCCACTACAAACAGGTGGTGAACTCCACTTCCGTGTTAGTTTAGCCCTGAAAGGAAGACCATCTTCCACTACAAACAGGTGCTTTCCCACTTCCATGTTAGTTCCAGGGAGAGTAACACTTGATCATTGATCCATACTGATGGGCCACAGCGGCTCGCCAAAGAGTCCTTGGGCCCCTTCTTGGATCTGGGGTCATATCGAAGGATCAGTTTCGCCGTGGCAACCAAAGTCCTCAAAGGCGCAGGGTCAGTCTACAGATTCCTCTGGAACATACTGGTATAGTGACTCTGGCAACTGGATATCCTGGTCACCGGGCAAGGTCTTTGTTACTCCCTGGAACTAACAAACTCCCACCCACAACTGGGACCCACAACCAGCCCTTCGGTGGGCTGTCTCCTGTCGCTGAGACTGTAGAGATACCAGGATGGATCGGGGAGCCTCCCGCGGAGACGGTCAATATGACTAGGCCGTGTAGACTGGGCCCATGGCTGCTGGAAGCAAGATCTCCTGCAGCTGCTCCAAGTGCTTGGCGCAGTGTTGCAAACGTCCTGAGCGCGACCCGAACGTGACGTGCCAGGTCTTGGTGTCATCCGCGCGGTCCGCGAGAGCAGCACAGCGGATGAAGGCGGGTCTGTGGGAAAGTGCCGGAGGAAGGGAACTCATCATGAAAACATGATGTCCAAAAACTAGTATGGATGTGTTGCTTGCCCACAGCCTACATCTCCGCATCTGCATTTGTAAAGAGTCGCTTTGATGTGGAAAATGATCGAATTGCTTACGCCATCGGCAGTGGAGAAAATCAGGCCCAAACCCTACACTCAAACAGCTTTAAAAGCTTGACAAGGCAAGTCATGCAAGATTTCCGCCAAGCCCCAGCTGTAGTTTTGTTTGGCTACGTCTTCTTGATACAGAAGTAGCCATTCGGTAAAGGAGCCTGATTTCGCTGGTCTATTCATCATGTACACCAGCATGCTCCGTCTTGGCTATTGGGCTCCCAATTCTACCCCCAAAACAACACCCACAGCTGAGCGTCGGCAGGCTGCACAGCGCGGCCACTGCTGAGAGGCACAAAGCCGGAAGGAGAAAGAGCTCAACACGGCCTCAGTGAACGAGCGGGATCAAAACACTGCGAGCCTCGCAGGATCCACCTCCCACTCACCCAGGGAGGAGGGTCGTTTCATGTGAATAGCAAAGAAGCGCATACTGTAATATATACGGCAATACATACCAGGACCCTCCGAACTCGCAGTGTCTATTTATAGCCCCTTAGCTAAGCTGTGATGTTAAAGGAGTGTCCATGAACCACCCTTTAGCTGCGGGTCGTAATTATAGGATATCATAATATGGCCACAAAGAAACAAACCCAAACACTCCATGGGATTGCAATATATGCCTACATTGACCCCCCTGAAACCACCCCAACTGATCGGCATCTATGGCGGTCCCATGGAGCGTTTGGGAAAAAAACACCGATGTGGAAAATCGGTGGCACAGCTCCCAGTGGACACTGTGGTCGCTGACCGTCCGGGAGTCCATTGAAAGCAATCCATCTGGTGGGCTCGCTCGGTGAGCCATACGTCCTCAAATCATCTCGAAAGACCCCTCAGAAATATTCAGACAGTCTGCAGCCTGCCCTGAGCTTGGAATTCCGGATTGAGAAGGATCGATCACTGGAAGTCTGTGACATAGACTTGCTTGCTAAATGCGTGCAGTTTCGGTGCCTAAGTAAGGCTGGCTCATCCATGCATTGCATGGGAGTTGCGCCGCCTTTGTTCCTACTATCGCTGGCCATGGGTCAATCAGCAACCCAAAGAAACCTTTGAAACACACATGGCTGCCATTGTCTGAACCTCGAAGCAAGTGCAAACAGTCCTCGAGAATCATATCTGATCCCTTGTCACCGATCAGGGAGAAAAGGTCCAGAAACAGTTGTTCCATTTTCCACGGTGATTTAGTTCCATTGGTGATTTTGTTCCATTTGGTTGAACTTTAGTTCCATTGGTGATTTAGTTCAACTATATTGGTGATTTATATAGTTCGATGTTCCATTCCAGGACACCTCGAGTCTCTGTTAGACAATAGTGCATGCGCAACAAAAAAGACACGGGCACGCGTGCACTTGTGTGCGAAACAGTAGGAACTAAACCATGTTCAAACAATATTATATAATATATAGAATTCTATATTATGCAGTATATAGAAACGCTTTACCATACATTCTTAGGGAACTTATTTATTGTTGATCTTTTTTTGCATCCCGGGGGTCCAAACAATCGAAAGACACACTCCTATCGATTCGTCCACCAACCAACCGAGACGAATCCGGGGGTCTCAACGTCGCGCGCGTTTTGAGCGCCAACTGAGGCCTCCAACTGCCACGCTGACCTCAGAGAGGCTGACCGGGAGGAAAATGCTGAAACTCATATGACACCACCACTACCAGTCACTGCCAGCCACTATCAGTCGCATTTGATGTTCGAACTTCTCCTCAAATGGGTGGGAAGTCTAGATGCACCGATCGTTGGTCCTCGGGAAACCAAGGGCCTGGACTACCCTGAAGGGCCAGCTCCTTCCAAAATTCCTGCCGCTTGAGTTACGTCCTCAGTGACTCAAAAAAAGGACACCATTGCCATCGTTGATGTAAATTTGATGTAAACAATTGGGATGACAGTGATCTCTACGACAGCTGAACATGCTGAACCTTGAGTCTTGCTGTCATCTGCAAGGAGCTCGAGCATACCCAGCGTGCCGGATCGCGCCCCCTGGATCCAGTGGTCTGGCTGTTTCTATGTCTGGCTCCAGTGGTCTGGTTCTGTCCACTTGTCCAAGGCAGTGCGTGACAGGACAGTGGTGGAGCAAGAAAATCTAATACCAGCTTAGGGAATGCATGGGAATGCCATTGGACACCCTTGGAAGGTCCAGGTAGAATACGATACATCGGCGCTAAGCTGGACCACCCACTGCTACTCCCATGGGCCGCCTTCGGCTCACGCGGCAGCACGATGGGTGCAATCCTGGCATGTCAAACATGTCATGAATCCGACGCACCAAGCCATGCGGAGGTTGAGGAAGCCCAGAAAAATGGCGCCTCATTGTTTTTCGTCCCTCCAGTGTTTTCGTCATGCGGGCAACTCTGGTGAACACGTTCCGATCAAAACATGGGCGGAGCATCACCGGTGGAACCCACCTCTTGAAGCCCCCCGCAGGCGGGAAACCACTGTGACCCAACTTGTAGGGCCTGCCCTTCTTGCCGTTCCAATGTAACTCTGACAAACACACATGGATTCCTTCCTGCCCTTCCTGCTGTTTCAATGTAGACAAACATCACATGATTCACATGGTTCCGTGGATGGCCCACCCTGTTCATGAAGAAGGAAAGAACCGGAACATCGTCCGAGGGTCCAGCCACAAACCGATGTGTCGGTCGGAGGGTAGCTCCCTAAGATCCTCCGCACCAGCAATGCACGGTGGTTCTTCTCCGGGGATCTGGAACATCGCAACCTCCAGAGGTCACGCATCACTGGTGCAAACCACCCCGGACACCTCCCAAGGGTAAAAGAAACACCTGACAGACCCCATGGTTAAAGTTAAAAGAATGTGCCTACATTGGTGGTTTGGGGGGTCAGTGTATACAATAGGCATACATATATCAGTACCATTTGTCGTGTCTGGGCTCAGTGAAAGCACTTGAAGTGGCTGGTCCTCCAAAACAGGGTGTCATTCACGTACCCGGCCGGCGCATTTCTTTGTGGCGACGTGTTACTCACCGGGTTCTTCCCCTGATTCTTCCCACCGAACAAGAACTGAATAGACGACCTACGGGTCAAGCTACCAGGGGTCAGGGTGCCATGAAGCCACTAATCACACAAGCCAGTCAGTGAGTGTTAGTTCAGTTTTGGGGGACCCGGGTGCCATGGCTGAGTACTTCACCGTCCGTCCTCTTGCCATAGCGGATGTTCACCACCACAGGGGAGTCCTTCGCCTCGATCGATCACTGCGCGGGGTCATGCGCCGGGTCGTGTTGGTCATGGGGTCATGGGGTCGCAGGATACGATACGGGAGCCGTGGGAGGGAGGGAGGGTCGATGGAATTGGCTGCAGTCGTCCCTGAAAACATGACCCCATCATGATCCTGCCTGACTCACACTCACTAATGAATAGGGCAGTGATGTCCTTTTGAGAAAAATAGAGGGGTGATTTGGTACCATATACCTATTGAATGTTCACCCTCTATTCATCAACCAATCAATAGTAAAAGGATGCAAAAAGCCATCCACAAGGGTAGTTTGGAATATGTGGACACTGGACACCTCGGACCTGAAGTTATATAAGACTCTGAAAGGCATGTCAATGATATATGCCCCCAGTACCACAGCGACCTCTGTCCCACCGTCTCCAGCTCTCAAACCACCCTTCACCCGTCTGGGAGTCCTTAAAGAGAGAAGCTTCCACCGCGCGTATGGCGTCGTCCCGTCGACCGGACGTCACGTCGGAGACGTCGTGCACTCGACGGGATGCCCATAGTGAAACCATGGTGTATAAAGGCCCTTCTTGGATGAACACTTTTCTGGTTGGTGTCTTCAACCCACTTGAAACATATTAGTCAGAATCATCCCCAAGTAAGGGTTGAAAATAAACATATCCGAAACCATCACCTAGTTTTTTCCCTCTACAAACAACATGTTATTTTTTCACCTCCATCTATGGATATTTCAGGGAGCGTAGTTTGTGAAAATAAGTCTCCTGGACTCCTGGCCTCAAAATATAGACAGAAACGTCATGAACACGTTCTCCAACAGCGAACTTCGTCAGTGCATGGTCTGGAAAAGCTCACGTGTCTTCTGTAGCCCTGAAACTTCTGTCTGCAAATCCCAGCCAGACGCTCCAAACAGCCCGACTGGTCCCTCAAAACCTAGGGATTGGTTCGACCCCAGACCCTGACCCGAGGATTCGGGTCCGACCCTTCCATATGAGAGCCCAGGGTCGCGTCTGGGCAGTACTTCAAACCCTTTTTGCCAAGCAAACGAGCGAGACCGAGACACCTTCAGTGCCGCGAAAGAGGCCTGTGCTTTGGCTTCCTGGGGAGGCTATGAGCGCACATTCGAGGGGAACATCCCAAAACCGGTCATCTATAGACTCTATTAACCCCCTTCCCAGGCCTGAAGAGGTATCCATGTCTGGGAATGCTTCCAGTAATCAGTCTACATTCATGACCACCGGAACAGGGAAAACAACAACTCTCCCACGCCATCCATGGGACTGGAACATTTGTCGATCAGTTGGAGTGGTTTGACAGGCCAAGGCCAGGGGCGGCATAGAAAATGCCCCTTGATTCATCAGCCCGCCTATTTGAATTGGATACTCTCCCTGGAACTCACATGGTTACGTGGACCAGCTGTTTCTAGTGGAGTGACCATGGTCTTCCGAACTCGGGGTCCAGGCCATTCTCCACGTATCCATGGGGCCGTTCTAGAGGGAGTGTAGTCCTAAACAGCTCGTGGGACTGAAAAGGTCGACCTTCCTGGGCCCTGGGGAACTTCGACATCGAGTCGACGACGTGCAGAGAGAGCGAGAAGCGAAGCGAAGACGCTGAGGCGCCAGCGCCAAATGGCTCCCCCAAAATCCGAACCAGGAAGGAACCATCGTTTAAAGGACTCCACCACTGTGCGATCAAAGTCATTCATCTTTTTTCGTTGCGAGCACAGCGCAGGACTTAAGATAACTTAAGCCCTGCGATGCCGCCCCTTTGGGTGATGAACTTTGGAGACCATTTGGCATCAAAGCTGAAAAATCTAACTGGTGCTTCAAAAGGAATGAGGGGATGAAAGGGTTACAGTAATGATATCAACAAACGAGGCCTCGGTGTCATTCCCGCACCCATCACGTAGGATCTGCCAACAACAAACTCCGTCTGGACCGGACCGGCCATCGGCGTCTGCCGCCCCTTTTTGGTCGATGAATCCTTCAGCTTTCATCACCGAAGCCTCACAAGAGCCGCGACACCAGGACATGCCAGGCACCTGAAGGACGCGACACCAGGAGAACTTGAAGGAAATCTGAAATTTGTCACATGTGCTGGAGGCATTCCGGCTTGAAGGACTGTATCTGATGATATCTGCTTCATACTGATCTCTTAAATGGTCGCATGGCTAAAAACCCGACCTGTCGCTCAAGCAGGTGTTGCAGCAAGGGCCTTGCCTTTCACATGCCCGTTAGGGCTCCGAACAGCCCACCTCCGTTTCGGTTCGATGGGACGGGGGTGGGTGCCAGGGGGGTCGAACACCACCGAACCTGAGGATATGGGACAGGAGCCCTAAGGATGATTTAACCACACCAAGACCCACGCAGTACATGTTTGTACTGGGTCTTTTTGGCTCTACTCGTGCCGCTTTCACGCGAATGCTCGTGCTGTTGGCTTTTGCCGCATGTGAAGCGGACACGAGAGTTTTTACAGCAGTCAGGATGCTGAAGGCGTGATGCGGAAGCCGAGGCTCCTGAAGCTTCCCTGATCTGACCGTCACCCTTTGCTTGATACATTGGTATACACTTGCGAGTTATTGGATCTTTCAAGCCCTCCACGCAAAAGAAGTCTCCCCTTTCGCCAGGAAAAGAGAACACCACATCACCCCTCGATCTTTGCCTCCAAGTTCCGTCCTCCTTTTTCCCAGAATGTTGGACTCCTCCTCTCTGAAATAAAGCCTCCAAAGCAAACCTGTTGGAAGGTGCTGGTAGTAGTATCAATCACATCTCAAAAGAACACCTCCGCCCGCACAGCGCTCCACATGGCCTTCACGAACACCCCTCTGCCACGCCAATCGCGCGCGCTCCCGGCCTCCGTTCAAAGGTCCTCATCGACGCCCAGGGCCTCCAGACGTGCGATCTGCTCTTGAAGCTTCCGCTGCTCTTCGGCCAAGACTGCCGGGTCCAGGTCCAGGAGGCTCTCCTGCACGAGCGAGGAGGGCGTGGTTCCCGACCGCTCGTGTGACGGCGGCCCGCGGGCACGCGTGAGCGTGGGCCGGAGGAGCTATAGAAGGATTGCTTCTTGAAACACCAACAGAGGTTGAAGGACCCTATAGGCTATCCCATAGGTACCTATAGATTACGGGTCCTAGTTCAGGTTACTTAACCTCTCTTGGAAGAACCTGAGGCGATGGAGGTCTTTGAGGTCTTTCTGGATCATTTTCTTAACGGAGAACCGGCGAGGGTGATGTTTGTTCCTGTGCCGGTTTTTCGCATGGCTGGGGCCGCTCTAGACTAGAAAAAACGGTTTGTGCGGCACTTCTGCAGTCGGGAACCTGAGAATCCATTGGCCCCGCTGACCTCTTCAAATGACTTGGGACATGTTTGGGCGAACACTCAGTGGCCAAAAAGAACACTCAGTGGGTGATAACTCCTGCAACGACACAGTCCACGAAAAAAAAAAGTAAAAAAAACAAGTAAGGGGTTATAGCAGGCACGCAGTTAGCATGTGTGCCCCGAATCCAGGATCGGGCATGCCTGCGATGTAGACCAACGGTTGTGATGCAAAGAGCAGTTTTTCTATCAGACTTCGGGCTACGACGTTGGGATGTGACAGATGGGTTCCACGCATGGGGTTTTTCCACTTCCATGGTCATGATGGGCGTGAGGAAAGCTTGAAACTTCCGGAAATGCCTGAGGAATGCCGGACCAAAGACCAAAGACCAAGAGGGGGTGAACTTCACTTCTGATTTCCAGGCCCGTCGACGGGCTCAGGCGTCGCATCTTCGTTTCATTTCGGTGGGACGACCGGGGCCCAGGTGCCAGGGTCGGGTCCAGTCATACCTCCTCTGCACTCTGCAGGTACGGCTGGAGCCCTGATAGGGAGTGTGACTGAAAGCATGTCAACGGTCTCTTCGCTTCGGCGGTGTCGGGTCCTCAAAGTCGGCTTCGGCCTGGAAGCCGATGGAAGATGCGGTTTCTGAAAAGAGATTCTTCCCAAACGAGGCCAGGACCATGAGGTCCTTTTCGAGCATCTACCAATGATGATGTCCAGAACACAAATACAACGTTCAACAATCTGTAGATGACCATTTGAGGGACAACACATGCGAAGAAAGATCTGCATCACTAGAGCTGGCGGGGTTGGGGGAAGTCCCGTGGTCGCTGCCCGTGTCGCTCCAACCGTCTCGTTTTGGGAAGAATCGAGGGCGTCGATGCCAGGTAGCACATTACTATAGATATATAGGCGACTGGCGTGAACAATGGCTGCAGAAATGCCATTCAGTGCCATATATTTGCTATTGGATCTTGTTGGTTGTAACTTCGGGATATCCCTTGCCATAAATCAACCAACCAGTATAGTTGTTTAGGGCCATCGACCAGTCCAGGACCACCGTCTGTCGGCCACCCAAAATCTATGATGCACCTGAAACACATGTTTAGCAGGGTGGGTTGTTCGTAGGGTTTATCAACAATTGCCTGTGGGAGATAACCCAAGAATGTATTTTTCTGGTACCTTCCTATTCTGAAAGACACCAGAATACAGCCAGTTCCTTCATACACCCACTATCTGGTACCTTCATACACCCAATTCCTATTTGGAAGACACCCACCATCTGTGACTAGACCGTCTACGATTGTGTGTATGGTCCTGGGCTTGGGCCGCCTTCGGACGAAACATCCCTTCAAACAGCATCACTTGGCGTCATGGGCTGAATGTTATCCAATAATATCAAACAATGGTGACGACAGAAGCGATCAACTATTGCGATCAACCTATTGGGATCAACACATCATCCAACATAAGCTAAGACTCTGGATTTATATGATCACCATTAGAATAAGCCAGGGAGGGCTTGGACAAGGGAGCGCAGGAGTCAGAGCCTTCTCGCACGTCCGGGACATGTCGTCTTCACACCGTGGGTTTTGTCAATCAAGATTTGCCTACAGTGGTTTCAAAGGCTCGATCCTTGACATGGGGGTTCATATAAACCACCGACATTAGGGTCTGTGCAATCTACTCTCAACCCACTATAAATAAACATAGAACTTGAACATGGACCTGAAGAAAACCATCAGGTGTAAGCCGTGTAAGCGTACACACACTTGTTTTGTGGGGACCATCTATGTGAGGTTCGCGATGGCATTGGTTGCATCCTCAGTGTTTTTCTTTCTCGTAGCCCAGTGCAAATCACAAACACCCTGGCTGTCAGCCGGGCACAGCCCACACATCCCAAGCTTTATGAGGACACACGCACATATCCGAAATGAAATTCATGTCTCAACAACCCCTGCTACAAGCATGTCTGCATGTCTACAACCTCTGCAATATTGATCTTATATGATCTTATTATGTTGTTTGTTTTGTATTCAAATGATTTCTTAATACCGTACTTCGGTGCCGCCCATACCTCTGCCACACCTCTGCTTCCGGCACCACCGAGATATCCGGTTCCGGCCTGGCCATAAGGGTCGTCTTGCGCCAAGCGCGGATCGGCGGCCGCCAGGAAGTCCTTGGGTGGCACATCCGGATGGGCCGAAGCAAACACCCCGGACCAGCCCATATTTCAGGTGAAACTCGGCTCTTGGGTCAAGAAGAACATGTTGGAAGGAATCTGATCTAATAGTACAACAAGAACAAATAACTTTCAAAAACTGGTGCCACATCCAAAAACATCCTCATATCAGGATTGCATCCCAAGCCATCCACTTCTTGATTTTCAACCATCGATCCGCCGCATTCACCGATCGATCTTAGACCGACCCCATCAAGCGTCCATCGTCCCAAAAGCGACCCAACTGAGCCGATCCCAAGAGCCTGGACGGAAACCGCCCGGTTTTGAGGCGACCAGGCACGCTATGTGTTCCAGGCTAAGTGACCTGAACTAGGAGTAACTAGGACACGTAATCTGGGGTACCTATGGGATAGTCGAACTAGGGTTCTTCAACCTCTGTTGGATTTTTGGAGGGTCCAAGAAACCACCCCAAGAATGTAGGCAAATAAATGACATACATGGAGTGTTGCGGAATATTTAGCTGCATTGACTCCTCAAACTACCCCAATGTAAATACAAAATGGCAAAAAGCAGGCTGACAAAAGGATAAACATGTTTGGGAGATTTGGGGAGGACATGTTGTTGAACCCATTGAACGCCAAAGTTCACAGCCTGCTTCTGAAAGGGCGGGCTTTGAACATCGCGAACTGACCTACAAGTATTGGATCCGGCTCTCACACTCCAAAGCATAAGCCTCAGTACACTCCCTAAAGTCATCGTTCCGTGGATGGCCCCGAAAGGGAGACCTATGCATCTCCACTTCCGCCAGTCGATCTCCACACCTGGAATGCGAACCGTTCTTCCCAGCACCCGGGCCGGGGCTGGGCACCTCCCTCACACGTCGCGTCGTTGGATTCGAGGATCTAAGGCTTGTGTCAGACTCTCGGCCATGGGGTCCGGCACAGGCTCCTGTCGGCGCCAATGGCGTCGTGAAACCCTAGGGATCCAGTCGTACCGAAGCTCAGAAGGTACGACTGGACCCTCAAAACCTACATAAGAGTGTCTCCAATCACCGTACCTGAGAAGGTACTTGGAACCCTAGGGAAAAGGGAAGGCCATGAGCCATGATGAGCCATGAGATGCCATGAGATGCCATGAGGGTAAAGCAAATCCCATGGCTCTCTCTCTCTCTCTCTCGCTCAGTTGATCTTTTCCGCGTGCTCTGCCTCTCTCTCTCTCTCTTGTATTGTGCCACCGTATGGTGGAGGTGATCAGCATCAATTGGGTTGATGGATACTGGGACGAAGTCCCCGCCCAACAGGACAAACACATCCCAACATCTTGTGTCTTTACTCTCAACCAGGTCTCAACCATCCCTTTTCGGAGGTCAAACCATCTCTGGTGCGTTCATGATGAAAAACACACAAAGAACATCAAATCATCCATAAATGCAATCCAGGGGCTTTTGGGAGTGGCTCTCTGTAATTAAACTCCCTTTTCGATCTGACCCTCTGAGGCTTGTAGCTTCACTTTGCTGATCGTGGCTTCAACGACATCCTGATAAACACCATGTCGGGTGAACAACGAGTCAATTCGCTTCCCCCTTCTCCCCCCCTTTCCTCCCCCTTCACCACGTGTTTTTTTTTCAATAAGCTCTTCTTCCGATCCCACCGCCCCCGACCCCCCCACAAAAAAAGCTGAGTGTATACTGTATACGTCCTACGTCTCTCTCTCTCTCTCTCCTCCATGGCCACATTGATGTTCAGCGGCGCCGTGTCCAACTTCTTCTTCTTCATGATCGGCTCCGCAGGGCCCTTCTCCCGCTCCTCGTCGCTCTCGGGGCGACCCACCAACTCCTCGGCGCCGGAGGGGAGGCCGACCGTCCGGACGTTGGGGCAAACCAGTTTGGGTAGTGAAGCATTGTGGCGGTTTCAAGCCAGCGTGTGATGTTCCATATGAGGCATCTTGGGACTTTTTGTTGGTAAAATAACTATGATGCATCGGATCCGGAATGCGCAAAGTTCAGGCACAAGGGATTGTCAAGGCATTCAGAGAAAGAAAAATCCATCCATGGTCCAGCAAAGCAGTGATTGGATCTGGAGCTGGGTAGGTTACTGCACATAGGACACATCAGAAATCCAAACTGTCTGGGACCATCTTCTATCTGCCTTGGCACACCTGACAAGGGGAAACTGCCCAATGCAGGTGGAGAGAGCACTGGCACAAAAGGAGAAATGAGGAGATGGGTGGTGCGAAGCTGTTAGGTGCTCAATCACGTGACATTGGGAAGTACAGCTTCAACAAAGCTAGGCGCTGAATTGCTTTCAAAAAAACACACAAAACTTGGGAAGTGCAGCTTCAATGGTTTTAACCTGAGCAACCATCAAACGGAGCCGGTAGGACGCATAACGATCCTGGCAGTCTGGTGAGCCTCATCTACTCAATGGACCAAAACCCTTGACTACAAACCAATGCGCTGTACTAATCACCGTAAACTAACCAACTAGAAAAGATTAAAAGAGAGTCTCTACTTAGACGCGGGAAGATACCAATTGTTACTTCATAGTCAAGTAACAACATTTCAACTATGCTCAACACTTGCCAACTGAGCGATCAATGGTTCTCAATATCTGATTATATAACAGGAATAGTGCCAGGACCTGAACAAAACACCTACAAAACACCAACTGCCATCTGCCGAGGCTCCAAGAAGGGAGCCGGCTGCTCGTTGAATAGGCGGAAGCGCTGTGCGATCAGTGGGTGGTCGCGCCGCAGCAAATAGGGACACAGCAAGGAGCCCGGAATGGGCTCCTGCCATGACATGGATGTCGTTCTCCGCCCGGACGTTCTTGAGATCAACAACCGGTAGGAATTTCAAGCCTCTCCCCTTCCAGTTGTAGATTTCTAAAAATCGAAGCAGTGGAAGACTACCGCCCCATTCACCCATTCAAACATTCATGGATGGGGAACTCCTTTAGAACCCCTCCACACAGTTCATTCTGCCAGCCTTCAATTCCACCCCATGCTGTCCAGCTTTAAAACGGGTCTCCATTAAACGGCCTTTTACTATATTGGTTGGATGATGAAACCAGGGACCCAAGTAAATATACATGAAACAAATGAAACAATGATGATCATATGGTGCTACTTGGGTCTATCCCACTGCCTGTAACAGTGGATGATGATGGTTAGTCAAAGCCTTGCTCAAGACTAGTGATTTGCTTGTTTACTGACTGTTACAAAGGTGCTATCATGTTCTACCTGGCATGGACCTCTAGAATCTTCCCGGGTGGCCCTGGGGCCTTGGAGAGGAACAACGTGGAGAGCACGTGATAGCCTCTGAGGCTATCGCGATCGCGCGCCACGGGCGGCCGTGGGCGGACGAAAGACAGGGATCCAAATGAACCCAAGGAGTTCAGGCAGTTCAAATTGAATGGTTTTGGGCCCCCAAAATGCCATAGGCCCTAATGATGGCTCCTTCGTTTCATTTCGGGTGAATTTGAATGGCCGACTTTTGAGGACTTTGTGCGTAAAGCCTGAGAAGTGCAAAACGCCAACGCAGACTCCTGCCCAAGCCCGAAGAGCTTGTTCATGTCTGGGGGCCTTGATTGTCATCTACCCTAGGCCAATGTGTTGAATAGTTGCGTACATCTAGTACCCCATTTATGATCCCAATGTATAGGTAACTATTCCATGGATGGTCTGGAGTCGATTTCTCCAACAGTTTCTCATGACCTTGGCAACTCACCCGCACAGGCGGCACTCACCCCTGCATGGCGCTCCGTTTTTTTGGTTCACGTCCCACCAGCAAAGGTTTTTCAAAACCCGACTGTTCGACTATCCCAGTTCGGTACCCCAGGTGACGGGGCCTTTGTCAGGTCACTTACAGTGGTTTCAGAGTAGATGCCACTGACACCCCAGCGATGTCCTTCAGATGATTGTCCAAAAAGAAACACTAACTTGGGGGATTGCACCTAGTGGCTTCTTGTTCCTAGTAATTAGTAAGTCCAGGAGCCCCGCTTTGTAGCCATTGCCACCTACGTCACCAAGAACCCACTTCTTCGTCACCAAGAGCTATAGCGGCTCGGCCAGGCCACCGTGGTTGAAGGCCGCGCGGATGATGCCGATCTTAAAGACCCGCGACCCGATGTCCAGGCCTGGTGCCGCAGCCCGGTCACCCCATCGGCCGAAGAAGAAACCGGTCACCGAGTGACCAGGAACGACACCGAGTGACACCACCTTCCGGGGGCTAGAGGGGGAAGAAGACATCCCAAGGTGCTAGGGGGGCCGGAGTAAGGCAAGGCAAGAAGGAAAGAAAGGAAACACCTGAGCAGCTTCGAAAAGTGGTGCTGGGTTGAAAAGCACCCCCCACTCATGGCGGTGCATGGGCTGTAACAAGCAAGTGTATAGATGCACACATCATGAAACAATCCAGTACCATTTCCACTCATGGCGCACGTGCTTCCATGGCACAGAAAACATTTCGGACAAGCAAAAACAAAGGTCCAGTGACCTTATAGGACCCATAATCTGGGGTACAAATATATACTTATATATATGGGATGGTCTATACTAATAGGGTTCTGCAAAAAAAAACCGGACCTCTGTAAGCACCGCCAGGGCGCCCTCTCTCCGCCGAGCCGCTGGGCTCCGAGGGAGACTCCAAGCAGAGCGTCGCCTGCCCCGTGCGTGTTCGCGCTGTGAAGCCCCGCTGCTGCCGGTCGAAGAGGGCGCCGCCGTTCAGGACGCTGATGCCCTGCGTGGCGTAGCGGAACTCCTGACGCGGTGACCGCGCAGCGAACAGCACGGGCCGCGAAAAAGGTACGAGTACGGTGGGTGTGAGAGTTTGGGAGATGATGGGGGCACACAAAGGCGATGTGGTGGTTGTTGCTGCTGCGCTAAAAGCAATATCATGTAACGACTTACTAATTGCACGGTCGTTACATAAAGGGTCAAAGGATTGGAGTTCAAGCGGGGTGGTGGTCTCCAAAGTGTAAGTAAAAATGCAATGTATACCGTGTATACCATTTAAATGCCTTTAACATGTTTTTAAGTTCACATTCCCGCCCTTGAAACACATCCACTGCTGGTGCTCTCCCTCTTTGCATTCATCTCCTCTTCCGAACAGATCGATCTAACCACCCAAAGGGAAGACTCGAGCAGCCCGAGAACCTTGGGCTGCAGACCCACCGACTGCCCCGGCCCGGTCCTGGCCATAGTAGCGGAAGAAGTCCAACAACAACTTCCCCAAGGTCGAAGCCTTGGAGGGTCCGAACGGTCGAGCGACCAAGGCCGGGCCGGAGATGCGCCAGGGTTTTAAGGTGTGAAGGATGGTGAAGGCACAACTGATTGGTGTGAAAAAACAAACACACACAAAACCACAGGGGATATGTCCGATTTCTCTATGGAAGAGTCGAGTGCTTGAGATGTGGAAGAAACGGGGAATTCTGCAAGAAGAAGAAGAAAACGAAAAATAAGAATATGTTCTGCAAAACGGTGATGCCTGGACTCTATATCTATGCTGCGCATATGATCGCATATGCCATGTATGCCGATCAATTGGAGTGTTTTGAGGGTCAATGTATATATATAAATTGGAACCCATTTGACCTCTGTTTTGATAGGAAGTTGGACCATATTTTGGGTGGTTGGTGGTCCAATATAGAGGTCGTTCAGGTTCTAGGTATATATAGGTAAATGGGATGATGGGATTCCGATTCGGCATGCGAGTGAAGACCAGTCCGTTTGGAGGGAACGACCTCAGAGGCATCCCAGCATGGAACCTGCGAGTCCACTGGTGGAAGCTAGTCTTCCAAAGGTCCATGCCATCAGGTTCCATGTTAATCCTGGGTGTTTTTCATATAGGGAGCGACTTCGCGAGCGTTCCTTGACCAAGCTGGGTTCATGCGAGGAGAGCAGCGGTCAAGTCGTTGCACCAAGTTGCTGAGTGTAGTCGTTGCTGCTGAGCTGAAGGATGCAATTGCAGAAAGGAGAGCACCACGCACACAAGCCTCATTCAAACCATGTGCACGAATCCGTTTTGGCTGGTCTTCGAACGGCTCAGTAGGGAGACTTCGCTGCAAACCGACCACCCCATGTAAACCATTGATGTTCCGTCCGTCACCTTCCGCCTCTATATATCCAAATATAGCCAAGTGCTTTAGGACACCAACAGCTCCGAGTTCGCACGCGTCCCGTCTCGTTGAGCAACGGGGTGGTTGGCGGATGGTTCCGTCACGGTCCCAACCAGCTTAGCGTCCCCACCCCCGCGTACGACGCACCATGGACCCTGAGACTTCTCGCGCCGTGGTTTCGACCGACTTGGGGGTTCCATAGCTCACCTCTGCAGGAGGGTACCTGGGGTACAGGTACACATGCCAATTTCGATGCCAACTTTTGTCTAGTTATGTCTAGACCACATGGCATGATGGCATGGCCATGGTCATGTTCCATCCCATCTGCTTGGTGGTGTCATCCCACTTCTCAGAAAAAGCTCTGCAAATGAACCAACCCGTGCAAGAATCTTGTAGGAAAAAAGATCTGGTTGGCAGTGTGAAGCCGCCCAAAACTAATTATTGTAATTAGTAATCTCAAGAAAAGTATAGGTTGAACAATATGTGTGTAATATACATAGTTATTTAGGTATTTATTGTCTTTTTAAACAATGTATATATCAATGTTTATGACATAATCACAAGATCCCATAAATTCAAATAGTCGTATAACAATTTACATCAGAATAGACATATACATATATAACTAAATATGTAAAATATCAATGGGTGATTGAGCAAGTTCAAATAGATTAAGACATGATAATAACAGGTCAAGGGGGATGAACAATTCTGCACCATGTATTGAGAGGGGGGCGGCAAACGGTCCACCCATTCATACATTCCCTGGTGGGCCATATTATATATCCCTAGGGCTCCTGTCCCATATCCTCAGGTGACCGGTGGTGTTAGATCCCCAAGACCACCCACCCCAGTCCCATCGAACCGAAACGGAGGTGGGCCGTTCGGAGCCCAAACGGGTCTTCAGAGACACAGGAGACACCCATTCGTATCAAGGGATGGACTGAGCCACCGGCATTCCGAGCCATCGAATGGGTGATCCCTGCTGGGTCTATATACAACCTCCCTGAACCCAGTGGATGATGGGGTGAGCTTTGCAGGCCTTTCCATCCATCCATCCATCTCAAAACTCATGATGTTCGACAGTGAAACCTGACGGCTCCTTCCAATCTCGTCCACTCACCCCTTCGCCCCAAGCTGGACGCGCCAAGCTGGACGCTCAAGCAAGCGCTCACACGCGCCAACAGCGTACTGAGCAGCAAATAGGAGCCCAAGCCACCCATGTAAGTTTCCTCAGTGCGAGAAGCACAACCACAAAGCATCCCTAGGGATCCAGTCGTACGGTACCTCAGGTACGGTGATGTGTTCGACACTCTTATGTGGGTGCCAGGAGGGTCCAAGTACCGGATCGTTAGGGCTATACCCATAGGGCTCCCATCACATCCTCGGTAGGGACAACCCCCGCTGGCACACCATCCTGCAGCTCTAGCCACTGCACCAAGAAATCAAAAGTCTAAATCCACCAGAACAATGGGAAAGGCACAACAAAAGAGCATGCAGCATGTACTGTGTCTTTAGAGCTTACACCATGCTCCTGATACGATTCCACACCCACATCTCGGCTCGGAAACCTCTCTTCTTCAGAGCGGTCCGTTCTTTGCCGCCCAGAATCGTGGGCTGGATGCTGTTTAAGGGGGCTTTACGCTTCAACAGACTATGACGTGTCGTTCCTTCAGGTTTGGTCTGGTGGTCCTTAACAAGCTGTGGGTGTATTCACAAAACCGTCGTGAGCGCCGCCAAAATAAAAAAAGATAGTTGATTGACAAAACAACGGTTCTACGGCACTTTCTACGGCAAGTGTTCTTTTTTTTTGTCGGGGGAAGGGACTGCTTTTTGGAGTGCACTGTTCAGGACATCAAGTTCAAGCTGGGTTAAGGGTTGATTACTGGAGGGTAAACAAAAACATATATCATATATATATATATATATGTATGGGTATATATACACATAACTATATATACATACTGTATACAATTATACAGTACACATACAGGTTTAGATTGCAAACTTGACCGGAATGACTCACCCAGAGCGACCGATGTGGCCTCAATCTTCGAGGCACATTCTAGATCATCACCCAAACCATCCATGGGATTGGAATAGGCGCCATACATGAAAACCGAACATGACCCTAATGTAAGTAACTATTCCAAGTTCCATGGAGTAGTCATATTCGCCAAACACTCCGTTCGCATGTCATATTCCATTGGGGGGGAGGGCTTGAAGGGTCCGGACCCCTGGAGCAGGAGGTCTCGAACAGTCGGGTTCTGAGAAACCTCATGTTCCCATGTACACCCGACTTCCCCATCGTCAGGATAAGCCTGTTGGTCAGGCCGGGAACTAGGCCGGGACGAGGTGGCGGAACTCTCTGGTTTTTGAAGCCCTTTTGGTCACTGCTTCCCACAGGAGCCGTAGAACTTGCCATTCACATCGGAAAAAACTCCAGAAGCTAGCAGGATCAGATTGGAGAGCATTGCTGCAAATCATACTTGAGATCAACCACCATTGCTCGTCGACACGGTCAAACATGGAATGCCGCCCAAACAACATCCAGAAGATTTCAAACATCAAATCAAGGGGTTTGCTGATGATTAGCACGACAACTAGTAGGAGTTTCTGATGGATCTCAGCTCGATGGGAGATCCGCTGAATACGGTCGTCATTGCCATTGCGCTCGCCTTTGCGGCTGTACGGTCGAAACGTGTCAGCTCCGGCATTCAACAAGAACTGCACTATGTTGAATTGGCGAGCACGAGAGGCGTGGTAGAGAATGGTTCCTGCATCGCACACGAATTCCTTGTCTGCCCCAGCAAACAGCAGCAACCTCGCAACCTCTTCATGGCCAAGGACGCAAGCATGCAGGAAAGCTGTGAAACCATCTGTGTCAGCTATGTCTGCAACAGCATTAGCCTCCAACAGCGAACAGACAACCTCCGTATGCCCATTCTCGGATGCCACGAGTAAGGCTGTATCGCCATCCTCGTTCGCTATGTCCACGCCAGCTCTTGCCTCCAACAGCAAACGGACAACCTCAATAAAGCCAAAATCAGATGCTATAATTAAAGCTGTGTCGCCATCTGTGTCGGCGATGTCTAAGCTAGCTTCAACTCCCAAAAGTGAGCGCACAATCTCTGCAAAGCCTCCGTCAGATGCTAAAATCAGGGGCGTTGCTCCATGTGCGTCAGCGATGTCCGCGCCAGCACAGGCCTCCAAAAGCAACCGTACCACCTCCGCGTGGCCTTCATGTGATGCCAAAACTAAAGCGGTATCGCCATCCTCAACCATATCTGGATCATGTGAGCATTGTAGCATCTCTTCCACTTTGGAGACACTGCCGCCGCTCGCCGCATCCAGCAAGCGATGCCTTTGCTCTTGAGACGAGGTGCAAAAGGGCATGACAAGCACCACCACTTCAATGTCCAAGTCGGCGTAAAAGCAAGTCTCATCATCCAGCGCAAAGCTTTGATAGAGGATCTTTTGCCTGAATCGTGGAACGCCTAGAAACCCATACAGCTGCTGTTTCAATCCTCGCACGTTCACGACGCGATTCACTGGAAGCGCCACCAACTGGTGCCCGGATGGTCTGTACACACTCAGCATGGGCAAGATGCGGCCGGTGCTGCCATATGTGGGAGTGCTGGGTTCGGGTTCAGGGGATAAACCAGTCTACCTGTTGATTGGGGGTCCCCCTATCAAATCCACACCCGAAATGCCGATTTGATACCTGGGTCCTGCCCCCTATTGCTGCGCGGTTCCGATGATCCAGTCGTTCAGTTCGGCTTCACCCGTTCCATGCCCTGATGCAGTGGCGTGCAAAGCTGAACAAGTCCTCTATACAACATGCAGAGACAATGAGGTTAAAGCCTAAAGCTTGAATGCGAGGCTTTAACTTTATCAGCAACAGGGCCACAACTCAAAACATAAACAAGGCATAACATCATGCAACATCAACCCCCCTTAGCACATCGCAAACAAAGAACTGCCACCGGCCGGGGAAAACAACAACAATAGGTTTAGTCTCACAATCTAACTGACTTGAGCCACATCACATCCACATCATGCCAATGAGCCAAACAAAGAAAACACAACTAGCAAAGGCTGACCCCCTCTTTCCCTGGAAAATAGAAGTCAACCTCTTTCCACGTGCTGCTGTTTAACCACCCCCACAGGCTCCCCCCCAAAAAAAGTTTTGCAGAAGTTATCCACTGGCTGAGCAGGAAGACACCCTTAAGTTTAACAAATTGGAGTTGCGTCCAGTTTCAGCTCAGTCAATGCGTCACGCAACAGGTTCACAGGTTCTTGACCTGAGGAACATGGATGTCACATGATAGAGGAGCACAAATAGAAACACATAAAATGGTGTCGAAATCATATATGGTAGGGCCCAAAGCATCCATGTATGGAATAGTTACGTATATGCATGTATCATACTATGCATCATGTACCCCAAGTAAGACCCCCTAATTGGACCCTAGTGTAACTATTCCATACATGGATGGTGCGGGGAGGACAATACATATATATATATATATGGAGTCACAACAAATCACACGTCCATCACACGACTCTCTGTTCTGCATCTGTCCAATCGAAACGCAAATGTTAACTCCATGGAAAGGTCTAGGATTAGAATACATTGTGGAACATTACAAAAAGTATAACATGGTACACCTGGAGCTGACACACTCTCTCCAAAAATCATAGAAGTTCAATGGAAGTTGACGGCCTGGCCCCTGGAAAGACAATGAACTACTCCTCCACAAACAGGTTTGTCTTCTTCAATGCTGTTCAACGGAGGGTAAGTGTGTCTTAAAGACCAACAGCCCAAAGTACGGCCTTGCCGCCCTTTCAAAACAGGTGTCGGTGTCATATGGGCTCAACTTCTACTTCCTACAAGCTCCAGAACCTATGTGTATGTATATATATATATATTTATTTAATATTCAATGCTTTTAGGTATTTGTAGATTAAGAAAAGACTTCAGACTACACCAGTAAGTACAAATTCAGGGATGTCATTTTTTACGGCACAACACCTTAGGACACCACCAAAAATTGCATCCTTTGAAGCAGGTTTCATCAAAGCATTTTTTTGCGGCAGTTGATGGTTGTTAGAGCCATGATGTTGAGTGGCCATGGCAATGGGAAAAGAATTGCCATTCCCACAGAAAAAGCCTTTGCGTTTCATGTAGCAGTAGCACAGCTTGCGCCCCCATTTGTTCAAAAGGAGCAAGCAAATCAACATCACAACGCACCCGTCATCCCGTCATCGACTGGCCAAGTGGCGTGGAGATTCCTCTGGGCCAAGAACAGTTTCAGGAAAAGCACCAGCGGAGGCATGGCAGGGAAGATCGCCATTTGTTCCCCTCAATCGCCATGCGATTCATCACGCAGCACATGCGATAAACGTCGTGTGGTTTCCGTCGGTGGGAGCATCAACGGAAAACCGCATGCCTCAGCGAATTGTAGATTTTTTGAAGCCTTGCCCTTTGGCAACTGCGAAGAAATCAAAAAGGCATTTATCTAACCAAAACAATACCAAAAACAGCATATGTATTATATATATTATATATACATAGTATATTTATCTATAGTATTGAGGGCTTCTTAGCGTCCAGCGTGCGCTATCCAATCTTGGCCCCTGTAAATGACCTACCTGAAGACGTTTCGTCACCGACAACGACAACAATTCACATCTCCTATCATCTTCCCCCTTATGGACATCTATAGTTTATATTATAGTGACCCTGGAGGATATAGTTTATATTATAGTATTATAGTGACCTTATGGCTCCAACTATATCCTCAGGTTCGATGGTCTTCGACCCCCCTGGCGCCCACCCCCCTGGTTCAAAGGCAGCGATAGAACGGGCCAGCTGGCGGTGAGCTTCGCTGCTTCGCTCTGTTTCCCTATGCGTTTCCATTGGTTCGACCCGAATGGGGCTGCGACCCATTCGTGGGGCGAAGCGGACCCTCCCCAGTCCGTTGCGACCCTCGGAAAGGCGAAGCGGAGCCTTTCCGGCGATCTAGTCCGAAAGGCGAGGTGTTGGAAGACGAAGAACTCAGCTCAGCTGAGGCGGAAAATGGATGGTGTGGCTGGGAGGAGAAACCAGCGATGTGCCCAAACCCTCTAAAAACCCAGCCATCGTCGTCCTCTTTCCACCCTCTCAAACCACCTCCCTCTTTTTTTTCGGAAGCAGAACGCGACCGCCGCATCCAAGTCTCGAACGAACTTGGCCGTATCCAAGCCGTCGGTCTTGTTGATCACAATGTCAGCCATGAGCCCGGTGGTTCTCTGCTGCACCTTCATCACCGGTACCTGGACGCCGTTTTTTACGTGATCTCCGGTGATCTGAAGGACCCCCGATGTCCGGTCTCCGGGCGACCGATACCGAGGTGAAGTACCTATATTATATAGGGTTCTTCAACCTCTGCTGGTAGTCGAACAGTGGCGTTCTGGAAAAAAAAGAAAAGAAACTCTGCTGGGTGGCGAGTTTCTCGCTCGTTTCTCGCGAGTTTAGTGGGTTCACCCCGCGCGTTTCGCTTGAATTCACCCCGGTGGACAGGACCGCCTCGTGGTGGTGGTGAAGAAGGGGTTGTCCAAAAACCACTGGACGAACGGTTTCGGTCCTGGTAGATACCTAGAACCCATTTGACCCTCTGTTTTGATAGGAAAAGACCTTATTTTGAGTGGTTGGTGGTCCAAAATAGAGGTCATTCAGGTTCTAGATAGAGATTGATCTTGTACTTGGTCAGGGCTTAACTTTAACTGTTCAACCTTTCATTGGGTTGTTCTAAGGAACCTCTGCAACTGGATGCGTCACCTTTTGGGTTCATGGAGGTCTTCCTACAGCAACACATGCATGTGCACGATATTCACACAAAACACCCACAAACCACTTCCAGATTATGCCAAGACTGGTTTGAGGACTCCGAGGTCACCTTGTTGAGAAATTGGTGAAATCAGTCAAACCCGAAAATCCCGCCCACCCCCCGCTTTCTCAGTCGGCAATTGTTTACTTACATGAGGATGAGTTGTATCTCTGGCATCCTGCATGCTCCACTTGGGAGCACAAACAAGCATACATTGTTCACTTGCTGCACCCCATGGAGCCAACTCAACCTCTGACAAGGTCATTACACTGTTATACTGAATATACTGCTCACAATCCATGCAGCAGTCAAGGGCAGCAAAAAACATTACTTGGCCAAATTTAACCGCCCCAACCATGTTTATAACACATACACAAAAATGCAGCATGCATAGTATATATATATACCCACGAAAACTTTGAACCATCCAAAATAAAGCACCGAGGATCAAGTCTGCCAGGAGACCTCTCAGTGTTCACCAACATTGTCCAATTAAACAAAAAGACTAAATAAACACACATAATTTTTAACGCTTGAAGCAGCCATTGTCAGAAGCCCGCAAACACACAACCCAAGAAACAGTATTTTAGTAATGACAATGAACAACAATGATACCAAGGTCCAGTTGACAAACATGCCTATTTTCCCCCACACCCAAAAAACAACATCTTTTCGCCCGCTCTTCTTCTTCGATTCCCCTCGCCTTAGCAGACTGGATGATCTCCACTTTGCTCACCTGTGGCCCGCGGCCCACGCGTCGCGATCGCACCCCTTTGAAACTCTCGGAATAGTAGCTTTATTGTTACTAGTAGTAATGCCCTTGTTCCTAGTAGCGATGCCCTTTGCTACTAGTAGCCTTCTTCAACGGAGTCTCCAAAGAGACCGAACAATAACTTGAACATCCGTTGTGACAGTTATTTTGACCTGTTTTGTAACACATCGTGACTGGTCTTTTCTTCTCACTTATGGTAAGTCCCCCATCTTCTCACTTATGGTAAGTCCCCCACATGTGCTAACTGCAGGAAAGGGTGCAACCTGAGCCTAATGGCATGTCAACAGTTGTCAACACCGTTGATGAAGTTTGATGTAACCCCATATTGCATCAAAAGGTGACCCCACAACACTGATGTGGAAGATTGAAAGCAACCAAAATCAACCATGCTTGTAGTTTCATACATGGTGTAACCCACAGCAGCAAAACGCTGTTGATTGTCTTACATGCATGTGTCGTTCTTCTGTGCTAGTCAGAAAAAATCACCACACAACAGCATTGATACTAGGAGCTTCATGTCGAACATGTTGAGCACACTCATGGTCCATCGCACTAGTATATATGCCTTGCCCTGCTTGACATTACAGTAGAGAAACTTGGAGACTTGGATCTCCAGTTTGTATTGCTGATATTACCGTACATCTATATCCAAAACATTAGAGAGACACCACCCAGGACCCATAAACTGTGTTGTATTTTTTTGTTTGCGTGATTTTACATGTGTATCCAGGGCAATTCCCCCAAAAAACATAGGGTCCATATATGAGAAACTTGAAACTCTTAACTGTCCAAACACACATATCTGTTTGGTCCTCAAAGAGGCCAAATAACTATATATACTAGAATTTGCTGTCCAAGTGGGGTGAAACGGTTTCTTCTTCTGTTATTTCCATTTGCATCTGGACGGGGTGAGATGCATTGGATTTGCTGTGTAGGATCCCACGGTCCCCCATCACTCGCTTCACCCGCACCAGGAGTGAGTGTCCCCATCACCCGCTCCATATCCATATCCTTCTGGACGACGGACTCAACAGACTCAACAGACGGACTCGACAGACAGACAGCAGTGGTCATTGAATCATTGAACAGTCGTGAAAATTCCGGGCGCGTGGTCTTGCTGCGCCCTTCCCACTTCAAAACCCATCCAGGCTTTTCACCAAATGCAAACCTATCTAGATCGAGCCTCCTGTCGCTCCAGCATGCGTTCAGCCAGTTGCTTCATCGCGGTGGTGACCCGGAGGTTCGTCACGTTCCTGCCGACGTTCGGCCGTCTCGACCGCCTAAACCGTTCGTTCCGTTCGAAGACTCAAACCCATAGACTGAGCAAAACTAAACGAATCCACTGGGACCTGGAACCTCTACTCAGGAAATTCCAGAACACGAGTCAAAGCATTTGCAACCAAACATACATCGTTTCGCGTAAACAATGCTCCGGTGAATTCCTGATTCAATGCTTTAAATTTATATCTCCGCTCCCTCCGATGCCGAAGCCGCCGAATGCCGAAGTGGTCCCATCTCGGTCAAAACACCAGAATCGCCGTCTGATCGGGGAAAGACCTGGTTTTGTAGTGGCAAATCCTGTGCGGTTGACCATTCAGCCTCTATGACCCTAAACGATCCCTGGAACAACATGTTTTTATGTTTGTTTTCCGGGGTGAACACCGAACGAACGAACCAACCAAAGGTTTTTCAGAACCCGACTGGTCGACTATCCCAGATATCGGTACCCCAGGTATAGTTTGGGTCCTATATATATATATATATCAGTTCACTTAACCTCTCCTGGAACTCCATCTGTTCATGAAGGTGTGTTCTCATCACCCAAAGTCAGGTTTTTGCAGGTAATCCATGTACTTCCGCTTCCCTTTTTTTTGGTGTGTGGCGCATGTGTAGAGTGTAGACGCCCCTTTCGCCACGGCGTAACTTCTATTGGCCACAGCATTGCCAGCTTCTTGCTATGGGATAACACATGAGATAACATAGACAAAGCCCCTATAATTAAAAATTAAACTATGACTGCTGAAATAACATCACTATGACTGTTTAACTACAGAAACCCAGTCATAACTAAAATATAATCAAATAAACTCAGGACCGCGCAAGAGTATGTCAGGTTCTGACTGGGCAAGAGTATGTGAAGATATACTGTGAGAACACTCCAGTTTCGTGGGGTTTAGGGGCCCAGGTCTTGCGCTTAACCGGCTTAATGTTCAGTCCGCCAATGGATGCATGCAGTCATACCATGTGAGATCTCAAAAGCATCTCAAAACCATGACATCTCAACAGAAACGGTCGGTCCGTTTTGGAACATGCTTTCTTCCTGCATCTCCCGACCGCCGAACCACGACCGCCGAACCACGACCACCGGACACCGACCGAAAAACGCCGGGACCCGGCGTCGCCGGCGGTACAGTCGAGCGACACGATGGCCACGTCGATGTCGGCACTGGGGAGGTTCAGACTCGTCGAGGTGGAGCCAAAAATGTGCACCCGGACCTCCATGGTCCGTTCGCAGAACACGGGCTGAGGTGGGAGGTGGCTGACTTGGCGATCGGGATCCAGGTTCAAAGGGTGGGGGTGGGGGTGAACTGGGTCAACATCCAAAGATCCCAGTGTCATGTTTACTTCCCCAAGACCTGGAGAGTTCAAGGCTCATTTTCTCCAGAAGGGTATCTTGACATGTATGTGTTCCAGTCGGGAAGATGATCAGGTCTTCCGCCGGTGCAGCCTATTAGGCCTTGTGGCCGAAGCTCCCCGGACTCGGCAAGAATGACGTTGCAGCCTAAGGAGGTCAAGTTGGGAAGGAGTCAGACTGCAAAGAGGGATCCTTGATGTGGAATTAGGATGGTTTATGAGCGTACTGGCTGCGTACTATTTCTCATTAAAACTAGAGGCTTGATATGTGCACACAGGTCCCAAAAACATCCAAAAACACAAAACACGTGTTACAAGTCAAACAGGTCCAACATGTTTTCCCCACATCAAGTACATCTAAGTTCATATCAGGGGTGGCTAGGCTGGTTAGGCTGCCATCCCAGCACGGGCGCCTCTGGCCAAAGGGATTTGGCTGCCTCTTCGATGGAGTGGACCCAGGCATCGCGCATGGCCGCCTGGCGCTATGAATCGATGGCTGTCCCACATCCTCAGGTGCTTCGGGTGCTTCGGGTGGGTGTTGGGGTCTTCCAACCTTTATCATGATCCCTAGGGCTCCAACCATATCCTCAGAAGTTGGTTAGACCCCCCAAACACACCCCAACCATCTTCTCAGGAGGTGGTTGGAGGTTTAGGGGATGTTACTCTCTCTCTCTCTCAGGTCACGTCATCACCTCTGTTGGTCGCTTTTGGGCTCCGGCCTCGATGACGGTGGGACGCAGGAACTCGGTGAAGTCGATGAGCTCCTCATGGAGCCGCAGCGAGGCCTGGCGCGACGTCCGGGGCAGGCCGTTTGGAACGTCCGGTCGTAAGCGTGGAAAAAGGGAAAAAGATTCCCCGTTTCTTGTGCCTTTATAGTTTGATCGAATGACCTACAGCTAGGCATTTTTATAAGGGAGATCTTCATTTTAGAAGAAAAGACGTCTGGAGGATGGACAAAAGCGATTGACTGGAGATTTGGAGAGCGATTTGAAAGCCGACTGTTAGTAAGTCTAAGAACTCCTCTGGCTCTTGGCAGGGTGAAAGACCGAGCATTTGAGGGAGTAATGGTAGTAGGAAGAAATTATTTAGATTTCCAAAGGGGCTGTCGAGGTCTAGTAAGTGAGAGCGTATCCATTTCAACTGACTGTGCCTCAATGCTGTAAGACTCCTGTGGACAATTCGGTTTCCAACAAAGGTCTAATGTCTACTGCCTGACTGGTAGTTGGAATAGTTGGATCTATGAACGTCTTCGCACTATAGGAAACAATTGCAAGGTTTAGGAACTTCAAACCAACTGCAAAACTGAACTTCTTCAAATGCATGGATACTTTCATACACCAGGTGTAACATGTCAGGGTGCCGAACTTGGAGGATAGGGGTGCCCCTGTCACATCCACTCACTGAACAGGACCGAAAAACAATCCTTTGTGACTCCTGGTCTATGAATCAAATCCTGAATTCCACATCAAAAAAGAACCAATTTGTTAAAGGCAAAATGCAAGGCCACCATGGTGCACAGGCGCCGTATCTGTATCAGTGCGTGCGCCACGCGCGCGCGCGGCCCTGAAGTTAGCGACGCATCCCGAAAGTGATGAATCTACAAACCAACATGTCCCTGTTCAGGGTGGCCGTTGCAAATACTGCCGCAAACACTGTTCACCTTATTTGTGTTTCTTTTTTTAGGGGTCTGTTCAGAAAATGCTCGTTCTGGACGCACCCACCAATGACTTATATTATATATATATGCTTTTCAACGTCGATTGTTGGTTCCTGGAGTGCTACCCTGACTTCATGTAGGTCAGCACCATCTGCCACACGAGGTAGGCTGTTGATCTGAGTGGTCAGCTCCACGTGTTGAGTGGTAAAACCTGACTCACGATTCACCTCCCCCATCCCGATTCACCACACCACCCCACACTCGTCAGTTGCACCTTGCCGGTCCGTCAAGTCCCGGCCCCCACCCCAGCCCCACCCAGAGCCGAGCCGAACCCGAACCGCACCGAACGACCGCGGAGCGAGCGAATCGCTCCGCCTCGGTGGGGTGCTCCCTTTCGACCCACCAAGGTGGATGCTCCGACTGCGGCGCCTCGCGCGGCGGAGGGGCGGATGGGGTGAAGACGCGCCTCGAAACGCGCCTCGAAACGGAGTGGGGTCCGAGGGTGGAGTCGAGTTGATGAAGTGACTGGGACGACCTGGGAGGTTGTTTCAAGTCAGTGAGATAACGTGCGGTCCTTTTGAAAGGGTCACCAGTGAGTCATCATGGCCATGGTCCGAGCCGCGCACCTGGGGCCCGGCGACCTTGGCAAAGCCCTCCATCTTGAAAGGCTTCGGAGCCGCCTCAGTGTGCAGTTTCGTGGACCAGCACAACCCCCGTTATAAGAACCTTAATTACTGGTCCACTCTCAAGCTTGTGCTCGCCTCCCTGAGTGTCGACAGCTGTGTTGAATGTTTGGCCGATAAGTGTATATATATATATGTATGTATGTGAGGCTTCAAGATCTTCAAGTACTTGGGCACCAAGAGATTGAGGCCAAAAGTTCCTTGGATTTTCTCATGACTCTCATCAAACCCCTTCAAACAGCTTCTCAAAGGGAAGGGTGGATATCGAACGGGCAAGTTCTCAGCTAGTCACAGCTGAACTACGCGGGAACACCCAGGACGTGGCCTGCTTTAGGCCAATCGAACAGTTGAGCCTATTAAAATGATCAAGATCCACATGTCTGTGCAGGAATTAATAATTGCATGTGCTTGACGTAACCACTTCTGGTCAGGAATCTTCTGAAACACTGCAACTGTTCGAACACTTTGGGTAAATCCATGTAAATCCCATGACCACATTTCAGTCGATGATGATGGTTGGACAATGTTGGATTTGGTTTGCAAAGGCATCAAAAGTAGTAGAGCCCATCGTCTCTGCCTCGTACAACGCAAACCAACAAAGCTTAGGAGGCTCTCTCTCTGTGGGGCAAGCCAAACCACACCCTGCACCAACACTGGAGGGTTGGTTCATTCTAGACCGTTTTGGCCGACTTTCCATCTGCTTCTGATCTCAATTCTCATGTCGTAACTTCTCCATTGAAGTCAACATAAATCAACCCACCCCCCAAAAACCCAATGCCTTCCAAACCCCAGCCGCCACACGTCCGAACCAACAAATCACCTTCCCCACAAACCAACAGCTTCACTCCCGCACCCCCTGCCCTCTGCCTCTGAGGAGTCGCGGAAGGTCTTCAGCAGCCCGCGGATCCGCACGTTCCGGCGCGCCTGGCGCTCGTTCCGCGCCTGGTCCTGGCCAGGGTCGTTGCCAGGGACCCAGTTCAACCGGCCACGTCGGGATGGGAGAGAAAGGGAGATCAGGTGAGTGCTGATCTAAGGGGCTACCAAGAGAGGTTGAGAGACCATATAGGTGGGATGGTCTATAGGGCTGTTCAACCTCTCTTGGTACTTGTTGAAAATTGGAGCCCAAGGGTTTCTTTTCTGAGTTGCACCGTGCAGACCGTGCAATTCCATCTCTACCTGCCGTGCCTATGTGTGTGTGTCTGTGTGTGTCATGCGTGCAAGCATGAGTGCTCTCAGCATCTCCTCCTCAGGAAGGTCCTTCAGCGTATGGTCACTAGAATTCACTTGATGTCACACGCAGCATGCCAGGACCCTAAATAGGACGGTCACCTTGGCAGTTGGGAAGCCATGCATTGCCAGGGAGAGAAAACTTGAGCAAACCCAATCTGGCACCTCCATCCACCGCTAGACGGTGATTTGAATGTGCAAGCAACCTTGTGGCTGGCATAGAAAGATCTCACAGCGCTGGTTTTGGATCTACAAATGTCCTTCGCAACATGCCAGGATCAATGAACCGTCGTCCATTGGCGGCCAGTTGTCTTCTTCGCGCTGCTCATCCAGCTAGCGTCCTATGTGAGGTCTTCTGGTAGCCTTGGACATCCAATAAAGAGCACGCCGCTGGGAGCCTTATCATACCCAAAAGGAAACTGGCTGTGAGATTGCAAACTTGAGATAGGAGGGGGTGAACGAAAGGCAGCAAATCTTTCACATCCGCATCATCACTGGTCTTGCAGTTCGAACTCGTCAAAGCTCTTTTCGAGTCATCGCTGTTCACTCCTTTGTCTTGTGACCCAGCGACAGCGACAGGCGCAGGGGGGATTTGATCCAAGGGAGCGAAATCCCGAACTCCAGATTGTAATACAATGCTGCTAACCAACAGAGGTTAAGTGACCTTATAGGACCCTACCAGGGTACCTATGGGATAGCCTATAGGGTTCTTCAACCTCTGTTGGAAAGCAAGGAGACAGTCAGGTAGCTGAAGCTACCTTGAAGTGATTTGGAACATAGATCCTATACCCAAACGATCTATGGGGCAGCAGTCCTATTGCCAACATGTGGTGGCTTTTGGTGGTGAATGTAGGGCCATATTTACATGGATCCTCAGGGATAGATGTACAAGTGTATGGACCTGTATAGCTGTCTCATGGTGTCCTTATTTGCGGTTTTGTGGTTTACCTCCCTCTGGGGAACCCAAGCACAAGCCAACGAAGCCAACGAAGCAGCCACAAAGGCAACACAGGTAAAAGCAAAAACCACATCGAGAGCACCACGACATCACTCGCCCTCGAAGAGGAACTCTACGGTTCCGGTCGAGAACGAAAACGAGTTCTACAGGTCCGGTCTGCCTGGAACTTGCGGACTCCATTTGTTGTGCAACGGAATCCGCCCAGGGAATCAGGGGCTTCAGTATACTTTGCTCACTCCTTGGCATGAATCGGCCCCCTCAAGACATGAAACGTCCAAAGCTTCAGAACCAACAGAGGTTGAAGGACCCTACAGACAAGATATCCCAGTTCGGTACTCCAGGTGACGGGTCCCATTTAGGGTCACTGGATACCTCTCTTGGAAGGGCCTCTAGGTCCCCTGTGTCAATGGCACCACAAAACCGACAGGCTCTAGTCTAGGTGCGTCGACCCCGAACGCTTGCGCAGCGCAGGTGCAGGGGTGGATCCAAGCACCGCCAAAGCACCGCCTTCGCAGTCGGACCTCACCTTCGGCTGGGCCCAGGCTGTTCCAAGGTGGGTCCATCCCTCTGAAGTGGCACCTTGATCATCCTCGATCCATGACTCGGGGGTCCCAGGTTTGTCCAGGTGTTCGTCTGTGGGAGCAAGCCGGAAAGTACCCGAAACTAAACCATACTAAACCAAGAGTCGTGACACATGCACTCACTAACCGATCTTTTCCATGGAAAATGAAGGTGATCCTTTTTCAGTTCATGCTCGGCGGAGAAACCCAACCCTAATTCAAAAGAAGTGACAGGTTGGCCAAGGTTAACCCACTGACGTTCCTTGTGGCTCCTTCTCATAGGTCCCCGGTTGTTTCAACCAGACCACTGGATGGGTCCTCCATGAGAATCTCATTGGCACCATCAACGAGGCTGCTGAAGCCTTCCTGAGAAAACAACACAGCTGTGGGTCGGAACCACAAGGGATTATATAATACTCCCTCGGGTTCCAACTATATCCTCAGGTTCGGTGGTTAGACCCCCCAAACTTACCCCAACTTCTCAGGAGGTGGGCCAGGAGCCCTAGGGGAACTCCCTGTAGCTCCGGAGTCCGGAGCTACATGCGGAAGATGGATACTACCTGAACTCCGAATAGCTCCGTCCTGAGCGAAAACTGGATGGTGCTCTGATTGTCTACTTTGGCACTCTTCCGGTTGCAATATGTTGCGTTCGGAGCAGCTGAATAGCTGAATCGCTCTAAACATGTTAACTTTAATGAGGAACCATCCTTGGCAAGGCTTGTTTGCATGCAAGTCAATGGCAGGCAGGTAAAATGGTTAAGCCAAGGGAACCCGTGTAGCCACGTGGTTCCACAAGCCTGAAGAAACAAATACCTGAATCAAAAAGGTATATGATAAAACATATGCATACTTTATGCATCATCCATTCAAGCGGCGTTGTGGGGGTTGATTCATCTGCATTTCGTGTTTTGTTCTGAAAACAGTGGCCTGCGATGGCCTATGTAGCCTCTCTCCAAGAATTATACAATTGGATGGCATGGTCCCTGGAAAGACGGGTCTCCTCTACAAACAGGGAGGGAACTGAACTCCACTTCCATGTTTGTCGCGGGGAGTGCATATCTGTTGATCACCTTCTTTTGCTCAATCTGTCAATATGCCATTTCGCTACTGTAGTCCTGTTCATCGTACGCCCCAAAAAGAGAACCACGTGTTCATCGTACATCAAATAGAATAAGAACACCCGGAACAAGCTCAATCCAAGCTAATCCAAGCTTCCTGTGGATCCTCTGCCTCCCCGCCATCTTCATCAAAGACCCCATAGCCATCGTCGAAGGCGTCGTCCAACGATTGCATGACCATCGCCCGCAGCTCCAGTCAGACTGGAGTGCGTTTCCACTACCCAAGAAGTCGAACCACCATTAATATCCATTTATTGAATAGCCTTGAAACAATCACGCATTGTTTTACTAAGGATGTTACACTACAACACCAGATCAACAATGTCTAAATTGGTCTTGGAATGTCTTGGGTCTATCCCAGTGTGACGCTTGACCGTGCATGGAAATACGGTCCCGACCCACGTTGGACTCTTCAGCCCAGTGATGGGGGCCACTCGCCAGAAACGCGAGAAACGGCATCTCTGATGCACACCCTGAGGTGTCTCCTTTCATCTAAGTGATGGACCCTAAACAACATGAAAGGATCGTCCTTGCTTACCTGCTCCATCCAGAAAGTGGCCGCTCCGCCGCAAGCTGGGTGTGCTGAACCAACTGCTTCATCAAGAAGTAAGATCTGTTGCTAGTTGTCACAGAAAATCAGTTGTCAGTAGCTTCAAAACCTGTAAGATCTGTTGAGTCACCTAGCAAAAACCATCCAATCTGTGTTTGATATGACCTAAATGGCATTCAATTGCAACTTTCGAAGGTATCCGTGAACATGTTGAACACCATCCAATATGCTGAAGGAAGTTTGACAGCAAAAGATTCTGTCGTGAGAATACCATTCTCAAGCTGCCATGTGAGCTCTTTTGAAAAACCTGCGTTGCTCTCATTCTGAGCTGCCATGGCCGAGGTTCTTGTCACAACCATTACGACCCCTCCATGTGGAGAGATAAACGGTCCATGCCGCGAATTCCGATTGACAACATGTATAACAATTTCTTTTTGATCAGCCGGGGAAGGCAACAGAAAATGCCTCAACTCCTACAGATTCATGGTGTATTCTCTTGGCACAGCATGGACAGGGAAGGGTCTCAGAGTAGAGTTGAACAATTGTTATATAGCATTATGGTGAAACCTATAACCTGGTGACCTGAGTCGCCCCGTGTGTCAGGTGCACTTCATGCTTCGAGAAGCATTGGACAACACGTTTGACGACATCTCAGCTCATGGATGGTGAAAGGAAAATTAAACCGAAATCGAGCGAATTGGCTGATGTTCAATTGAGTGCATACAGCAACATCGGCAACGGTCTACCTTTATATACACATATATCATAATAAGCATTGATAGGGGTAGCAATCAGCAAATGGCTTCTCTTCAGGAGAAAAACTGCACACAAAATGCCTCAACAACATCCATCCACTAATATTGTGACATCCCAAACTTTATTGGAAACAATAATGTCATTTCATTCGTGCAGAACAGTCAAGCGCAGCGGATTTTAACACAAACATTTCCAACATGCCTCTTCAGGGGGGTCTATAAGCCACCCGAACTGGGTGGTGCTGGTATGTATCAATAGGACATGTTGAACAGAATCTGAACCCAAGGCCTTTAGATATCATAAAGCTCTGCACGGCCCAACCTCCACGACCCAGAACTTGCCTCTACCAACTGCAGCCATCGAGAGCTCTGAGGATGCAAGCGCCTGAGGAACCACGCGCGACCGGCAAAGCGTGTTTCATCATGTTTCATCCACATCTGGTCGGGCACGGGTGGAGACCCGGCGTCTTTCTGCTGTGCCCAGTCTTTGCTCATGTCTTTTGGTTTGCGTGTGTGCCTTTATTGGCGAAAGCAGGGCGACACCATCCGACGCATGTCATGCTGGCTTCATAATAATAGCGCGAATAATTGTACTTGTTCAATCACCTTATAGAATTAGGGTCAGAAATTGATCAGGGGGGGGATTATTCCCAGTGGGTCAACGCAGTTCCTTAGTATCGCACCAGTTTAACCGGTGCTTTAGCAAAATGGTCCGTCGGCCGCCCCGGCTACTCATATTTTTGTGGTATTTCCGGGGCGGGGACCCAAAAATGATCGAATCAAATGACTACTACCAAGCATGCTATATGTATATATATATGTATATAGATAGCTTTTCCTCCATGTCAAAATCTCAGAAACACAGTATTAAAACTGAAAACCGTGTGCCTTGGGGAATCATAGGGCCAGTCTCCGCGAGTGACTGGTACGAGGCATGTTCTACAAACAGTATATACCCATAAGTATATATATATATATATATATGTACCTAGTTCTGTTAGCCCTGTTCAGTAAGCTGCTGCAACTCTGCCTGGTGGGACAACCTTCACTGCTGTGGTGGATATGGTTGCCCAAGACCCTGGTCTCTCTTTGGGGTTTTCTGCTTGGACTGCCATCCCCACTGCTGCCAGCATTTGGCTTTTGTTATTGGCTCACTATCCGCGGCATTTGGCTTTTGCCATTGGCTCATTATCCGTGGTGTCTCCATGTTTCTGCCATTGTTGAAATCTCAGAACAAGGTATTGAAACTGAAAGCAGTGGTCTCGGGAAATCATTTGCACGAGGCTTGTTCTACAAATGGACATACACGTATTCATTCACGCAACTATTTCAGCCATGCTCACATGTCAAGAGATTGCCTTTGGACTAGCGATGTGTACTACTCTCGGGTAGAGACGATGCTAGTGATGCAATAACTCATCACCTTGCATCTTTTGCATCCCCAAGCTACCAAAAATCACATCATTTCAAGCAGCAGGCTAACATGGCTTGCGTTCCTTTTTCCCCACCTCCCCCCACACACCCTTATAACGAACTTCGTTCGCAGCACTGACTTCAGCCTAGCCTATCGGCTGGCTTTCGTAATGGGGTCCAAATGAGTCAATTTCCTGGACTTTCAGGGCTAGGGCGATTCTCACTCCCACACGGAACCCATCACCACGCCCCAGCGGCGCAAGTTCCTCACAGCGTGGACCTGGGGCGGACTCCGATCCATGAAACCGCTCTCCAGGCGTAGAAATCCGTCGGTCCATCAGTGTGTGTGTGTGTGACTCCTTGCTTTAAACATAAGCATGACATCATACGATATCCGTCCTTGGGTCTTCTGCTAAGGGTTGAAATACATTTAAGTGGATGTATATTATGCTGCAGGAAATCGGGCCTCAGAGTATACCAAAGGGAGGTAGAGTCAGTCGACCACATCAATGAGCTCAATGAGCTGCTCACTCAATTCAATCCACCCATCAGTTCAGTCAGTTGAGTCACGGGTTGGGTCACCAGGTCCACTCTTTGGCGGAAGCTGTCCGAGGGCAGGGCAGGCAATGAGTGGCAAACAAGATCAGCCTTTGGATGAACTCAATCCCCACACCAACCGCTTTCCTTTTTTCAGGGGTTCGTTGGCTTTTGCTACAGCAACCCAGCTTGGACCCATCGAGCTATGAAAGTATGTGAGCGCATGATTTAACACTCAACGCCTATATAAACATGGTTCACATCAACAACGATTGCACATCATGCCAACCAACCATTCACCTTGGAAAATAAGATTCAATCAGCCTATACTGGGCTATACGTTGAAAAAGAATGGGCCAAGTCACAGGAGCTTCCTTGGCAAAGCTTGCCAGCCTGACGGCGCCCAGTACGCAGCACTCGGTCGATTCAATACCCCGAACAGGGATCTTGGATCCTGCAATTTGTCTGCAAAGGTTCATTTAAGGTATACGATCACCGGTGGCCGCCGACAGGGATCAAATCTCTTATTTATCCCAGTTCATCGTGGGATGCTGCGCCTGAAGCCTCAGGAAAGCCTCATGGAGGACATCCTACTGGGTTGCAGTCCGGTGGTCACTAATGAAAAGGGGGAAACGGGAAGGTCTCTTTCAGAAAACTTTATGAGTGCGAATGGACGGACAACTACATCATGGCACATGAATCCACCGTCTTTCGTCAAATGAAACATAATAAAGCAATATGCTAGTTTAGATACCTAGAAACCAGTTGACCTCTTTTTGATAGGAAAGAACATGTTCAAGTTCCTAAACAGGGGTCCCACGGGTTCCAAGTAACAATAATACAGCGACAATAATAAGGAAATAGGTAGTTAGTCAAAGCTTCTCAACGACAACGATGCTACACCATGCTACACCAATGGCTGCTGAGAGAAAGAACAACTGACCGGTGCCTGTCCTACGCGCCAAATGACAAGACATCTGACATCAGCGAGGTTGTCAGTGGCCAGACTGATCGACGATCAGAAAAGCTGTCACCTGCTTGGCTCTAGCGTACCCACCGCTTCAGCGCAGTGCTGCCAATGCATCGCGGTCTCATGCACATGTTTGGCTTTAGGGCACCCACTGCGTTGTTGCGTTGTTGAAGTGCGGGATTCACCAAAGACACTCTCCAACACTCAATGCGCTGCTTTCCCAGTAACTTGCCATGCTTTATACTGTCATGAACATGATGTGACGTTGAGTGCTGTTCTAGTGTGGCGGCTGGCAGCTAGAGATATGGTAAACCATTTTCACGCTAGCTGAAGCTGAGATGTCCAAGCAGTCGTTTTTCATGTATCACTCTCAATGTTCTTGGTTCCACACTCCCTGGAATCATCATTGAGCATCATTATCATCATTCCATTGTGGCTTCAAAGCTTCAAAGTTATGGTTATCATCAAGGTTAAAGTTATCATCATTCCATTGTTGTTCAAAGTCTCAGCTTACTCTTCCACTCCTCCAACTCAGCTCGTCTTCCAAACCCGGTACTCCGCGCCTTCCTGCGCCGAAGGTCCAAGGATGCCTGGAGAGCTGAGAGCTGTGACGGTGGATTTGATAAACTCATGCTGACTGCGAGGCTGCTTTTCCATGAACAAATGCAGGTTAACTGAACTTTCCACCTCTCCCCAATCCACCCAAAAAAGGTTTTTCAGGATGTGAAAGGCTATCAATCATCAATATCAATGTCGTCTCAGCTGCAATTGCAAAAGAGGTCCCAAAATTGAGTGCAGGGAGGGTACAGCGGGGAAGGTCAAGCCCACGTAACGCCCGACATTGCCGGGTCCAAATGAGTGTGTCTAAACGACAAGGGGGGGAGTGTGCCCTTGCTATAATGTAGACTGGTCTATGTTCCTTTCAAATGGATCTATAATGATCTATCCCTAGATCTCCCACTACCTCCTGAGAAGATGGTTGGGGTGGGTGCCACGGGAGCCTAACCACCTTCTTTGGATATGGGACAGGAGCCCTATGGTATATAGGGGTCTTCCCATTCCAAGACGCACCCAAATCCACTGTAGCTTTGGGACGAACCAAAACCTGCCCGACGTTGGACATCGCGGGAGACCGGCATCGCCTGCTGGACACAAGGGATCGGATCACCTGGGTGGTCAAGAGCAACCAAAGCCCAACACGACCGGAAAACATATTCACCAAAGGTGGATTTAACCAAAGGGGAAAAAACATCACCATAAGCAAAACCACGTCTTTCAGCTGGTGCGGTTCAACAAGGGCGAAGAGATGCAGGCATATTTATCACATACATGGAGTGTTTGGGTAGCGATCTACAGTTACAGGTACCTTGCCAGCAAATTGGTGAAGGGGAACTGCCCGCTCTTTTGTTTTGCGGGAATGCGGAAGTCAGGATACCCTCGTGCTACCTTCAGCCTCAGTCGCCTTGCTAGCGGATCAATTCGAAAAGAAAAAGGGTACAGCATCGTGAAACGGCTCGCCACACCAGGATGAGTGGCCACGCAACTCCTGGAAATGCTAAAAGTGAACATGTTTCACTAAACTCGCCCTAACCAAATGATGCATGCTTCGGCAACGAAATCACTCTATAGCAGCGACCATTGCGTGAACTCCATCAGGACCTCTTTGAACCGAACTTCAGGTTCGGTGAGACCAGACTGCCCGATGAAAATGGTTTCGGTTTCAAGAGGTTCCAGGAACCTGTGAGGGTCCAGGGTGTTGGTTGTTCAACTGTTTTGTGTCATCAACATGTTGCAAAATCCGTGCACCAGCAGTCACGATGTTTAGGCCCCAAGTGCAAGTGAGTGGATGTTCTGGGCACCCCCAACCTTTGTTTCTTTCCTCAATTACACAGGTACTTTGGTACTGGCCCGCGAGGTACCCTTGACAGCACAACTTTAATTGTATATTTAGACGTGACTGAAAATGTCTGCCCGGGCCCCTCCACAAACATCCCGGCGGCTCTCTTTCCGCGCACGTAATCGTGCAAATTTCAAGATCTAGGATATTGGGTTGCATGCAAAAAACGGTTTGCGCCTAGGCGAAATCACGATTTCTTTGGTGGTCTGATCAAGAATCATCTGAAAATCACTGTCAAACTTGAGAGAGGAGGGGGGTGAACGAAAGGTAGCAGGGAATCAGGCGTAATCCGGGAGGAGGTGAGAGGCCCCCCACTTGTTTGAAGAGAAGTGAGTGAGCGTGATGAAAGAAAGGCTAATGCACAAACGCTTGACAAAACCTCCAGAAGCTGTAGCGGTCTAGCGGTTTCAATACAGGTTGACGTGCCTTCAAAAGGAGTCACATATTTCTCAAATGCAACTTCGGATTTACATAGTGACGTGCGGCGACCCTGTAAATTGCGTGGCCGCAGGCCATGCTTGCAAACAGGACGTGCTCAAAAACACTGGTATTTACGAGGTTTCGTTGCCGTCGATCCACAGCCGCGGCAAGGTCTAAGGCCACGCTTGAAGACAGGAGGAGCTGAAAACACTTGTATTTACGGTATTTTGTAGCCGTCGATCCAAAGGCGCACCACGGTTGAGCGCTGGAAAAGCGCAGAAGACCGTGTAAATACCGGCGTTTTCTGCCGGGAAGGTGCACAAAACCCTGTAAATACCATAGTTTTGTGCAATTTTCCAAAAGCCTCAAAAACCCTTTCTGACAAAATCTTTCCTGGTTTTTGGTCTTTTCTCGGTCATTTTTCTAACCGAGACGCATCAAAAAACATCGGTTTGTGCGGTGTTTTTTTGCCGGACAGCCACACAAAACGCTGTAAATTCAATGATTTTTGGTCACTGCTGAGGACTGGAAGAGCTGAAAACACTTATATTTACAGTGTTTTCGAACCGTTAACCCCGAGGCGCGCTAGGGTGGAGTTGAAAGGGAGGGGGCGAAGATGTCGGGGACCATTTCTCCGAGAGATAGGCTGCAGCTCTGGGTTAATACATTTTTGCTAAAGCAAAAGGAAAACTCAGGTAGCGTAACCGCTACCTTTCGTGAAATGGTGACCATTTTTGACATGGATTTGCGAAAGCACAGGGTTTCGGACCAGTTTTTTGCGCGCGACCTCTTGCGTCACCGTTGGTTCAACTGCGTGCCCAACTTAAAAGCCAGATTGCTGTTACCGCAGTTCCAATGCCATTGCCATTGACGCACACTCCATGTTTGAAAGAACATTCCAAGCCATTAAAGTCTAACAAGCACTAGTGACTATGTGCTAGCTGCCAACATAAGATCAGAGACACAACAGAGACCAAGCGTAGCGCAAGTATAGAAAGTGCATTGACAAGAACATTAAAAGGCACCACCCGAACTCAAACCCAAGCCCCTGGCCAACGTCAGATCAGAGACACAACAGAGACCAAGCGTAGCG